CATCGTTCAGCTCACAGTTCATGTAAACCGTGGACCAATCCGCACGCGGCCTGTGTATGAGGCCATCGTCAATTGGATTCAGTGTCAGACAATATTCGGAGCTGAAGGAAACGCGACGTCCATTCAGCTGGAATCCCTTGTGCAGAGCATGCGACATCCAGTAGAGCACCTGAAACTTGTGCAGGCACATCTGTAGATTGGCCTTCTTGTAGTGTCGGCTCAGCTGCTTCTTGCGTGGCCGCACATTGTTAAACACCGGACCACGACGTGTGGGACGCGTCACGCCCGACAGGATGAGCTTGAGGCTCTCGAACCAGCGCAATGTGCTGCCATACAGCACCAGGCTGGGTATATCTAATTCCACCTCCTCGGCCACCTTGGGCTTCGTTTCGAACGATGCCCAGACGTTGAGATTAAGCGAGCGAAACGCGCGAAAGGAATCATGCACCTGGTTGCTTGAGTATTCAGGCAGCTTGTCGGGTGCACAGGGCATGACAGCATGATGATCATTGGGATTGGCCAGACAAACCCAATTAAGCTTAAAAGTCAGCTTCAGATTCGGAAAGTGCAGCAGTCGACAATCATCATATCGAGAAGCAGTTCGTACTGTCACCTAAAAGGATTTATGGAAAGAATATTAAATAGTTATTAGACTCAAGCTATACACTCACGTTAAGCTCGCCCTTGAACATGATCTTGGCATTTGTCCAGACAATGCCGCAATTGTTCCACGTCAGCTCCATTTCCTCGGTGGTGTTGTACGGATCCAGCGAGGCGTGCAGCAGCACCGTAAACTGCTTGGCAATCAGAGTCAAGCGTCCATGCAGCAATAGACGCATCTTATCCCAAAACGGTAGCGGTGGGCTCGGATCCTTCGAGGGCGCTGAGATTTTCTCAAAGCTCAAATTGCACTGGGCCATCACGGGCTCCCAGCAGGGGCCAAAGGCATAACTGCAGCTCTCCAGTTCGCAGTCAAAGTCGTGATAGAACTTAATCGTCGGCATACTGCGTTGCACGACGTCCGTTTCAAAGGGTTCACCCACTTCCACGAAGACGTCGCGCTTGGCACGCTTCGAAGGCATTTGCTCGGCACCGCAAAGATTGCCGTAGAGTCGCATGCTCTTCACATAGAACATGGGCTGCGGAAAGTCTCTGTGTACGATTAATATTGGGATATATTAATATGTTAATATTCAATAATGCAACCTTTAAATTACCGCAACATAAACTTCCACTCGGAGCAGCTGATGTTGACGCCGCGACACCAGAGCGTTGTAAATTGTAGTCCTTCCTCCGGCCAGGGACTCTCCGAGTCGATTTCGCGCATGGTGCGCGTCACATTGTCATAGCCGTGTATGGAGGTGTCCGCCATGGCCACAATTTCCACATCGGTCATAATCCAGGCGAGCAGGCGCGTGCGCACAGGCCCACTTTCACGTATCTTCTTCGAGCGTTGTATATAAATCTCGGAATTCTTTTTGACCAGATTCGCATAAAGACTTTCAATGGTGCCCGCGGGCACCAGCAGCCGTTCTGAGCACATTTCGGCAATCTTCTTGTCGAACAGCGCCTTGCGTTTCAGACTCTCCAGATATTCATCCACCAGCAGCACATAGTTATCGCGCAGCTTAACCTCGAAGGGATCGTCACTGATCTCGAGCAGGAACTCCTTAATCTTGATTACCCAATCGCTGGGCAAGGGTGAATTGACTGTAAAGGGTTTCTTCTTGTAATTGTGCACTAACTTCAGCCATTTGTAGTGCGTGACGCACTCGTTATTGATAGCATCATAGAAATCATGATCGTAGGGAAAAATTGCCTTGAAGGAGCCGATGGTGGTCACCCACACCTTGTTGGTGGGCAGCACAAAGCCTGGAAAGTTGAGACGTTCATGGCTGAGCGTCTCGAGATACGACAGGGACTGCATGTCCAGTTCCTTGACCGTAAAGATGTGTTGATCGTCGATCCTGACAAAAACATTCTCCGCATAGATTATATTGCGCTCCTTGCGACTGAAGAAGAGATTCTCCACGAAGACCTGTATGGTATGGCGCTCCGATAGCTTCAGTTCAAATATCGTGCTACGCTCCGCGGACAACTCAATGACAAGCGTAGGCTTGGGCTTTTGGTCCTCTGACTTGGTGGATGCAGGCATGGCCACTTCCGCCTTCAGGTCCTGCATATCACGCACTAGCGTTAGCAGATGCATGTGCAAATTGGAGTTCCACATGGCCTCCGTATTGCCGGGTATATAAATGGATAGCTTGCCGGGCGTGCCTTCTAGCGCTGGCTGATGCTCCAGTCGTATCATCTTGCAGTTGGCAAACACATCCGAAAAGTCCGTCAGACACAGCGACGAGGCTGTCATTGAGCGCATGATGGCCATTTGGAACTCCTCCAGTTTAAGTGTGGCCAAATTGTGAGCGCGAGTCAGATTAATTTCTGAGAAGCTAAGCAGCATATAAACATTGTGATGATTCACAAAATACGCCGTGATATCCTTAACCTTGACAGAAACACGCAGCGCTGTGCCCTGCTGCTCTCCCGAGGCGCTGCTGAGGTGAGATTGCGACTGCTTAGCACGTCTCGTGCCAAGTCCACCGTACTGCTTAACGCACAACATGGACTTGACGATAAACTCCGCAAGCTGCATGCTGTACTCGGTGCGGAACGTGTGTATGGATATGTCCAACTTGGTTGTGTTTGCATAGGAGCACAACTTGACCAGGCTGACGCCCAGGAAAAATGGTGAGCCCGGTGAATGGGTCTTCTTCAGATTGTTTGTGTCGTTGTTGGAGTTGCCCAGATTAGACCAAAGCGTCTCCACCATCAACTCCATGCTCCATTGCCGCTGGTTGAGCAGTAAATTGAGAAACTTATTGCGATACAGAGAACTGCGCTTCTCCTCAATCTGCTCCAGTAGAAAGCGTGTGTGACTGACGCTCATGGCAATGTGCTCATCGTCCAGTTTCATGAGCAACGAAACGTTCCACAGCTCGGCACAGCCTTTGACCACAATGCGCTGCATGATCCACTCCAGAATACCGCCATAGCGACGTTGCTTGGCCGGCGAGGCTGAGGGCGTCAGTGCATCCAAACACAAGTGATCCGGCAACGAGTTTTGCCTGTGGCCCAGCTGCAGCAGTTGATGGTTGCTTGTTGCACGCTGGCGTGCAAGGAAATTATTGTTTACAAAATCATAGATCTCGCTGTGATTGTAAATAATCTGGAATGTCTTGAGCTTCACATACAGGTTGAATATGTCCTTCTCCAGCTGTGAATGGGGAAGAGTAAATAGCATCGAGTCGTTAGCGTTTTATGCATTAGTTAACTAACCACCGAATCAATGGTGAACTGTTCCACGAAGAGCAGCTTCTCGTATTTGGTATCAATGTCCAGATGCTGAAAAACCAGCTTGGCCAACATGGAGGGTAGCAGCGTCTTTTCATCCACAATCTTTGAGTTGAATTTACCCGTTATCTAAATAATAAAGATTATCAATACCATTTATAACCGCTTTCAGATAAAATTTCCTACGGTAAACAGCTGCAACTTGGCACTAAAATCATTTTGCGAGTTCTCCTTGACTGCGGAGAATGTTGCTGCCTTAACGCTGAAGTTAAAGTTCTTTGGTATAATGGGCGCTAGTTTTTCATAGTTGTCATTATCATAGCCGCTGGCATTGGGTGTTAACGCCTGCTGTAGGCTCTTCGACTGCTGGCCAGGATTGGTGCGTTGCTTGGCCTCGGTAAGGAACTCGTACAGACCGCCATGTATGACTGACTTGCAATTGTTAATGACCAGGCTAAGCGACTACAGAAGAAAAAACATTAGTACACTCATATATATATGTTTAGTCGGTCACAGCTTACATCCATGGAGAGTGGCCCGTGTGCAAACAGTGAAGCATCGAGTGCCACATCAAAACTGACTTCGCCCAGGCAAGGACGTATTTTGTTGAGATTCTCCAAGGACTGTCGCCGTGCATTGCAATGCCGCAACATTTTCGCCTGCGCCTCAACAAGCGCTGCATTGACTAGGAGGACTCGTGCATTTTGCACGATGCTGCCATCCAGATGCAGCTCCTTGGCGGTGGCATGTATAAACCAGCCCGGATCGAAGTCGTTGTTCATCAGCACCACGGATATGTTATTGACATGCACGGCCATAAACTGTGCAAACGTTATAATGCTTGCCGGCACTTTAGTTTGCCGGAAATCGGGTACACTTCTGGCCTCGGCTTTCTGCTTGCGCGGCTCATAATAGAAACCGTCGCTGACGTCATCCTGCCGATTGCTGTGTATATCCTTATTGATACGTATGTCTCGTACATAAATGGACACCAGCTTTGTGACCTCCGTGGTAAAGAAACGGCTGCGTAAGCACACCTCTTCGATTTGCTAAGAGCATAACAAAATGGTTAAGCATTATGGGGGCGTTCAAATCACGGGTCAATTGGCTCGCACTTACGACTGAGAAACCGCTTTTGCTGATGTGGACATTCTTGAGCGACAAATAAGGCAGTGAAATGCGACCGATGCGCACTTTGACCCGAAATCGCTTAATCAGATACCAGCTTATGCCCGTGGGCAAAATCCTAATTAGATGATAAAGTACAGCGTTTACTTTGCGCAGCTTAAAATTCCATTGGGGCCGGTGCGGCTGCACTTACCAGTAAATGAAGAGGAATATTAGTGAGGTAACTATTAGCAACTGTAACATGTTCACAATTTATATATCATTGCACGCCCATAATATTTGATAAGCTAATTTAAACGGAATTAATAGAATCTATAAAATTTTGAAAAAAAAATAATGTGTATGTTTCTTTTCGTTCTTCTGTTTTTAGCGTCTGTTGCTTGGGCTGGTTTGGGCCCAACAAACAGCTGTTTATGTTTATGTCACTTTCTGTGTGGCCAGCTTATGCATTTTGCGGCATTTTTCGGCACAATGTAAAAATATCGATAACAACTTATCGCATAAAATTGTCTCTGGCATGTCACCAACAAAAGTCTTGCGAAAACGTTCCGGCTTTTTTGTGTGCAAAATATAAATTACAGAGCTTTTACTATTAGTTAAGGAGTTCACCATGTCGTTTCATTTAAGCACCAAGGAGCGCTTACTGCTGCTAATCGATGACATCGAAATGATTTCCAAAGAACTTATAGAGCAAGCGCACCAGAAAATCTCCAGCACGGAACTTTCGGATTTGCTGGACTTGTTAGTTTCAAAAGATGAAGAGTTTAGAAAAATGTTGGAATTGGCGGAGGAGCAGGCCAAAGTGGAAGAAGCAATGGATAAATTGCGCGCCAATGTCGAGATTCACGTAAGCACTATTCATGCCAGGGGCTACGATTGACTTCTAATATTATATTTCTGATTAGGATCGGGAGATTCAAAAGCTACAGAAATCATTGAAAGACGCCGAGCTCATACTCTCTACAGCCATTTTTCAGGCACGCCAGAAACTGGCTAGCATTAATCAAGCCAATAAGCGGCCGGTTTCGTCAGAGGAACTCATCAAGTACGCACACCGCATTAGTTCAGCAAACGCAGTCAGCGCTCCGCTGACTTGGTGCATTGGAGATCTCAGACGACCATATCCCACAGATATTGAAATGCGCAACGGTCTATTGGGAAAATCTGAGCAAAACATTAATGGTGGACTTGTCACTCATCAAAATAGCGCCATTCAGTCGGACGCCCAGCGAAATTTAAGCGGCACAGGCGGTGGCGGGAGTGGCAGCGGAAGTGAAGTGCCAAATACATTCCAAAACCAATTCAGCTGGAACCTAGGTGAATTGCACATGATGGGTGCTTCTGGCAACTCAGTGGCACTGGAGACACGTGCTCATAAAGAATCTTCAGCTCAGGATGATGTCGAAGTCATGTCCACAGACAGCTCAAGTTCTAGTTCGAGTGATTCACAATAGTTTCTTAGATGCAGAACAAAAATAGTAATAGTAAAAGTAGCAAATAAGAGAAAAGTTTATTGTACACACATATATATATTAGATTTTTGGAGTTGGCCAGGTCTAGGTGCTAGATTTTATGTATTTCAATTGAAATGCACAAAAGCTTAGAACTGGAGCTGACCAGACCTAAAAATCTTCTAAATTTAAGAAAGAGGACGCGAACTCCTTAAAACTATATATATAATTATTTAAAATGACTTGGCTGAGCATTTATTTAAAAGTTATCCTTTCTCGATAACGATAGTCGCTTTTGGCGATAGCTAGTTATCGGCTTTCACACATCGATACCAGAGGGAATGGCAATTACTTTGCTGGCATCGCCACTCACACGGAAGTAATTCGACAAATTTTAGTTTTTAATGCAAACGGAAAGGCTATAAATTTCGCCTTTGGATGATATATATAACTCGCTTTAGTGTAAAACAGTCGATTTTGTAATGTTTGAGTGTGTGTGTGTGCGGAAAAAGTAATGCAAAGGCCTTGAAAATTGTTACGAAAATTGACTGACGTACGGAGTGCTGAGGTACGTGCTAAAAGAAGAAGAGCAGCCTCGCCAGCGCAATATTAGAAGTGGTGGTCAGGGAACAAGCAGCAGCAGCAGCAGCACACCGCAGCACACCCCGCATTAAAGTTACACACACACGACACTCTTTTTTTTTTCATTTGATTGCTGGAAAATTGCACAGCGTGCGGAGTCACTGCAGCATGATCCATTGCATTGTATTTCGTTTGCGTATGTGAAGCATAAAAAGGCCCCCCAGAAAACTGATACTGAAACCGAAACCGGATTAAAAGTGCAGCTCGAACAGCACCGATTGTAACTAGGGCGCCTCAGCTAAGTGAAAAGCTTGTGGCGTCGTGGCGTCGGAGCGGATACAGAGAGTTTTGAGACAGTTTGACATAAAATTCAAAAATCATGATGATACAAGAGCCCGTGCAGGTAAATCGATAGCAATCGAATAAAAAAAAAAAAACAATTTTTTTGTATCAAAATATACATAAATACCTTTCAATCTGCTGTTCTTATCCGTGTAGGCCGCCATATGGCACTGCCTCAACCACTACGATCATAAGGATGCTGTTTTTCTCGCGGAGCGCCTCTGCTCAGAAGGTTAGTAGAACCTTGACTTTATCCACACATATCAAATATGTACATATACTTACTTGACTCGTCTTGTCCTTGCAGTGGAAAGCGACGAGACAATATTTTTGTTGGCCACCAGCTATTATCGTTCAAATCGATTGGATCAGGCCTATTGGCTGCTCCTGGAGAAGTCGCGCCGCTCGCCGCAATGCCGCTACTTGCAGGCGAAATGCGCTTACGAGCTGAAGAAATATGCGGAAGCAGAAAGTGCTCTGATTTCCAGTGGTTTTGTGGACAACAAACACTTTGATGAGGTGCAGCGCGAATTCGGCGAAATCGCCTGCTTTGCCTATCAATTAATGGCGCAGATCTGTATGCGAACGGAGCGCCAGAAGCTGGCGGTGAACGCGTTACGTCGTGCCCTCAAACTGAATCCGTTTATGTGGCATGCGTTTGCCGATCTGTGCCTGCTGGGTCAGGAAACGGATACAGCGGCAATATTCCAAATTCAAAGCACTGATGTGTTCAACACTTGCCAGGGCAGCAGCGCCAATGCCAATTCCATGGTGCTGTTCGGTGGCAGCGCTGTTAATGAGCAGCAACAGCAGCTGGAAAATTTGCTGCTTAACAATGTAAGCAATAACTCCAACTATATTCTAAGCACCCCAGTGGAGCAGCAGCAGCAACATCAGCAGCAGCTGCAGCAGCAGAACAACAATAGCAGCAGCTTGGCCACGCTACAAAATCTGATGACGCCAAACAACAACATCAACAACAACAACAATAACAATCTCAATAGCTCCATTACCATGCTGCGTGGCGGCGTCCAACAGCAGAGCACCAACACCAACTCGAGCATGATGCTACTGGAGGACACACCCATGGGTTATGCAGCGCATGATGCGCCCGCACAGCAGCAGCAGCAAGCGCAGCATCAACATCAATTGTATGATGCCAACAATGGCACACCGTTTCGAAAGCAATTCAAATATCTGTCTGCAATATCGCCGTTAACGCCCAGCTTTGGCATTATGCCTCTGACTAGTCCCTGCGATGGCGGCTCAGCTGTGCTGCAGGCAAATTTAAACATGTCCGCGTATTCGCCATTGCCACAAATGCTGGTCGAGGTCAATCAGGAGCCAAAAATCATTGGGAAGAAATTTAAGACGCATGTGGGCGGACTCATCAATCGTCAGGAGAAAAGTAAACCCGCCGTTTTTACGCAGGCTGGCAACATAACTCCGCGCACGCCAAACAACGTTGTTGGCAATGGACCCCCGAATCCCAATGCGGCAGTGCGTCGCAGTTCGCGGCTGTTCAGCAATTCGGCGTACTCTGTCAAGGAGAACAACAAATCGCCCAATATAACGAACAATAACAAATTTGTACAGCCGCGATCGCCACCACGCAAAACCAAATCGTCACGCATGACCAAAATCTGTTTAAACAACGAGCTAATTGAGGAGAAGACGCATCACCATCTCGCTGAGAAGCTGAGCGAAAAGCAGTCGCGCAAGGAAAAGGAAAAAGTGGAAACAATCACATCGGGCGCAACAGCCGGCGGCAACAGTCAATCATCAATCAATAATCGCAGCGCCGAAGAAGCCAAAGTCCTGCTAAACAACAGCCTCAACAATGCCCAGACGCTGGCGCATCAGCTGCTGAGCATGAAGAAGCAATCGGCGGATGGTCTAATGCTGCTGCTGCGCGACCTGGCCGAGGGCTATAAGCTATTGTCGGCGTTTCAATGCAAAGCGGCCATTATGCATCTGGAGGGGACGATACCAAAGCATCATTTAAGCTCCAGCTGGGTGCAGTCGCTGATCGGCATGTGCCGCTACGAGCTGCGCGACTATGAGGCCGCCGTGCTTATATTCAAGAGGATACACGAAACGGAGCCGTGTCGCTTGGATTACATGGAAATCTATTCTACATCGTTGTGGCACTTGCAAAAGGAGGTCGCACTGTCGGCGCTCGCCCAGGACCTCATCGCTCAGGATAAACGCAGTCCGGTGACGTGGTGTGTGGCCGGCAATTGTTTCTCACTGCACAAGGAGCACGAAACGGCAATTAAGTTCTTTAAACGTGCCGTTCAAGTAGATCCCGACTTTGTGTACAGCTATACACTCCTGGGCCATGAGCTGGTACTTACCGAGGAGTTCGACAAGGCGATGGACTATTTTCGGGCAGCTGTCGTGCGCGATCCACGGCATTATAACGCCTGGTTCGGCATTGGCACCATTTACTCCAAGCAGGAGAAATACGAGCTGGCCGAGCTGCACTATGTGAAGGCGCTGAAAATCAACACACAGAACTCGGTCATTCTGGTGCACATCGGGGCCATGCAGTTCTTCATGCAGAAAAAGGATCTGGCACTGCAAACGCTTAATACGGCAGCTACGATAGATCCGAAAAATCCGTTGGCACGCTTTCATCGAGGCTCCATATATTTCTCGCTGGGCAAGTACCAGGAGGCGTTGCGCGAACTGGAGGAGCTCAAGGAGATTGTGCCAAAGGAGTCGGTTGTGTTTTATCTAATTGGTAAAATACACAAGACGCTGGGCAACATGGATCTGGCATTGATGCATTTCAGTTGGGCCACCGATCTGGATCCGAAGGGCGCAAATAATCAAATCAAAGATGCCTTCGATTCAATGGCGCATCCCAATTGCTGTCCACCCAATGACAATGCCCTGGATGTGGACTTTGATCCAACATCGGAGCGTTCCGATGACTCAACGCAGGCGCAGCAGGATGTAAGCTACGACAGCGACTACTAGAAAATGTCTCCAAGTCTGAGTGCTTGTATATAATTACATAATTAATACACATATTTGAAAGAGAAAACAAAAACCAATTATGAATTATATTGAAGTTTAGATAACGTTTTAGCATTAGGTTATTTATAACAAACAAAAACAAAATAAGATGAAGAAGGTTTAAACAATTCTCTGTCTCTGTGCACTCTGAAAGTCTTAGGCAAACAAATACAAGATTAATATACATTATAACAACTAAATTATACAAAATACAAAATTTAAATGATTGCTTAAGTTTAAAAACAAACTAAACTTTCCAAAAAGGATATGTTAATCTTCGAATGCAGCGCATAGTGGCGCCGCCTAGCGGCGATGCTGGCCTGATGCTGATCAAACTGCAAATATCGATATCAGTTAGAGATGTGCAACTCGCTGTGCATCATAATGCAACCGTTTTAACCGCTAGGCTGCGCCAAAGCTGTTCCACACGATGACAAAAAAAAAAAAAAAAAACAATAGAATAATATACAAATTAACCTGATTAAGATTTTGTTGTAAGCTTATATGAACATGGCTTTTCAACCAACTCAGTCTCTTCATCGCTGGATGAGTTCACGCTTATCAACTCGAGCGACTCCTGCGCCAATTGCTGCAGTTGCTCCAAACTGAGGCGCTGCGTCAGCTCCAAGACTGAGCGCAGCCGTCCCAACTCTACGCCCAGCATGAATGCTACAACGGGCAGATGCACCTCGTGCAGCCGATATATCCGTGGCGTCGCAATATTTAGTACATCTCGTATTATCTTGGTGCCAAATACTTCGGCAAGCGATTCACTCAGCGATGGCGTCCTGGACTCCGAAGATTCTGCATTTGGTGGCGATGGGGAATACATTTCACGGCCTGCAATTGGCTCACGAGGCATTTCAACTGATTCGTTGGCAGGTGCTCCACAGCTTACACGTTGCAATTCGTCTGGAATAATGGTTCCGGTAATATGTTTCGGCTCCGTTGGCAACTGATGTATAAAATGTGCAGGATAACGTTCTGGCAACAGAGTCTGCGTCAAGTTCATACACTGATAAGACAATGTTTGAGTGCTGCTGCTGATAGATGTGGATGCTACGGAAGCTGTTGGGATGACAGAGGCTTCCCAATTACTGTTTACCCCTTTCAAATAGGACTCGCCTTGCTCCGGGCCGGCATAAGAAGACATGACTAGCGGCTTTGGTTCATCTATTTTTAGGATCTGCACAGATTGTGATTGGTTTTGAGTACGTCTCCGCTTAGTCCCCGATGTGGGTTTGGATTGACCACGTGCTGTGGCGTTGTTTGGTGCCAATGCCGACGGCTTTTGAGTCCCAACTGTTGGCTGCAGGTGGAAAGCAATGGTCTGTGTCTCATAAGGCATATTTAGTTGCATGGGAACAGCTTCAGGCTCTTTTTTAATGCGTCTACGCCTGTTAACCGACGAAGTAAAGCTTCTGGATTGGCTGCCGGGTGGCAATGCAGCTGCCAATGGATTTGATGGCTGCAGCTGGACACTGTGCTGGGAGTCCAAGGCGAGTTGTGAGATTTTACCTGGCAGTGGCTCAGAGTGTGTTGTTGTAGCCATTTGAATAGCTTTCGGTTGCTTTTTCGGACGCCCTCGTTTTTTTCTCGACGCGGATTGGGAGCGACGCTGCTTCCTCTCAATATTCCCCCTGCCAGGCGGCGGTGTTTTGCTAGGAGCACGTTTGTTGAAGCTATTTGATGGAGTTACGCAGTTGGGGGGCAGCTGAGCCAACTGACTGAATTCGTCATCTGTCGCAGTAAACAGTTGAGGTGAGCCTGGGCCAGCTGCAGCCTCAGTCAGCAACAGGGAATCTTCCTTGGCGGTTTGCTTCCTTTCACGCAGACGCTGGGAACGACGCGGCTGCGAGCCAGGCCACTCCTCCGTTTGCAACCCAATCAGGTATTCCAGCTCCGAGCAATATGTGGTAGCTGGACTTACAATAGGCGTTTCATTTTGCGTAGCCATTGGAAACCAGTAAAATTTTAAATTGAAAAGACGCTTCAAAAATGCGGCGAAGCTGCCGTTACAGTTAGTTGCCCACAGCATGCGTGACATAGCACTCAGCTTTTGTGGGGGCGCGATGCAAGCAGTCTGGCAACGCAGACAATTTTTGCTTCTTTCTTTCGTTTGTTTTCGCTCTTCATTTGTTGTGCTCAGTAGCAAAATATTTTGGAGGTTTTCCAATTCAATTCTCAAAACAAACTAAAACTGCATAATGCATATCTTAGATCTTCCGGACACTGTGCTAATGGACATATTGGAGCTGCTCACGTACGACGAGGTAGCCAGAAAACGCGAGGTAAAAAATCAAATCAAATGTGTCATCCGGAATCATCTCGAGACGCTTCCATAAACTTCTTTTCGTTTCTAGGTATGCGCTCGCTTCAACTACATTTGCCAACAGGTACTTAATACGGGCTTCAACAAGGTTGTGCAGGAGCATGCCAAGAATTTCAAACGCATCAAATCCCTGCTGCCACGTCGTGAATCAGAACGGCGGTAACCAAAATCATCTAAAGAACCGATTGCCGATGTTGATAACAAAAGTGTTTATTTTGCAGCAATCACATGCTGGCACGCCACTCGGACATCCTGACGTCCATTGAGACGCGCATTTCAATGCTGACAATGACCTACTCCAAGTTTATACACCTGAACATGTGCTGCTTTATACCCGGCCGCGTACTTGACGAAATCAACAGCATATTACGGCTGTTGGGCGGCACAACAAAGTCGCTGCGTCCGCACGAGGTGTTGCAGGAACTGCGCGACATCTCCTCGATGGCCATTGAGCATTTCGATGAAAAGATTGCCATCAACTTTAAGACGGCCATCAAGATGAACGAACCCTCCTCCTCGGCCAGCGCACGCGTCGTTGTCTGCGGCGCCCTTGGCGACATCAGCTTCGACGGCGTCAAGGTCAGCCGCTTAAAGAAGGTTCAAGCTCAGCAGCAGCAGCAGCAACAGACGCACTGCCACAATATGCTCTGTATGGGCCAAAAGAGCGACACACTGCCGCAGCAGGCGCTGCTGCTGGCCAACACACTGCCCGCCGGCAATGGCACTGCTGGCACCGATGTCAGCCAATGTAATTGCAATCGGGATCGTCTAACCAAGCAGCTGCAGCGCCAATGGCAAACACAAAAAGTGCTAACGTCTCGCGTGCGACTACTTGAGGGATCGCGCAAGGCGCAGGAGCGTCGTCTGCAGGAGGCGCTGGGCAGCATCACAGAACTGGCCACCCAAGTGTCCGAGCTGAAGCGCCAGCTCGAGGATGTCCTGGCCAAGGGCAAGTCCAGCGCAAATGTAGCAAGTGGGGCAAGTGGGAAGCGCACAACAACAGTGGCCACCGACTGTTTGCCGCCCAGCAAGAAACCAAAGGCTTAGTGCCTCCTCATGTAGGCTGTAGATTGTACTTAGGGTTGGCCGTAGGTTAAGCATCTGTACTTTCGAATATTCACACTCACACATGAATATATTATAATTAATTACATAAGTATTCCCATATAAAGCAGCTGCCGCTAAGAATATAAATATATATATATATATATATACATATATTTAATATAAATATATATATGGATAAATAAAGTATATTGTGCATCTTGTAATATTTCGAGTTAAGATTTATTGTTGCACTTGTTATTTAAATATTGTATTACAATTTTACAACTATATAAATACATAGAACATCTAAGTTTAAGTTCTTCACATTTATGGCCATTTCCAATTGGAAAATGGTCTGACTGCCTTATGGTTGCTTTTTATTGCTATTTTGGTTTTTCAAAATTGTGTGTGTGTGTGTGTGTTCGAGTGTGTTTATCCGTTTGCTATAGCACTGGTAGATGATATATATATATATGTGTATGTGTATATTTAAAATTACATCAAATTGGAACATCTAAAAATTGTAACGCTTTATCAGCTGCAAGTTTTGACAGGCGTTTAGGAAGTAATTGCTTTTAGTTTAGTTTTGCGTACGGCTCTGGGCCCACATCTATTGCTATTGTAATGCTGTCTAAGACTACGACTCCCGTTCACGTTAGATGTCTATATTTGTTGCCTATGTTAAGTGTTAATCATATATTATGCATTATGTTACTTGTATAAAAAGGTAGTAGAAATTGCCACTCGTTAGCAGTGTGCTTAAATCTTTGTATTAACTGAGGCGAGCTCTTTCGACTTAATCGTAGTCTAACTAATTGCTAAGTTGATTTTTTTTTCAGTATATATATATACATATACATATACAATCAATAACACACAGAATATATATATATGTTCTCAAGTAATAACAAAAGAAAATGGAAAACAAAATTCATTGCAAACGCGTTACTTAAACATATTAGTTGCTTTATATATATATATATATATATATATATATATATATATATATATATATATATATATATATATATATATATATACACAAATCGTTGCATATATATTTATGTCTGTATAAACTAGTCAAATTGCAAGCATTGCCACGCTGAAAAACCTACAAATCTATATATATATATATATATGTATATACTACAATATTTATAAATACATTTATGCATATGTAGCTGTATGTACAAATATTTTTAAGCGCTGCCGCTTAAATTGTTTTGGATCGTTTATCTCCTCCTTAATCTTTATTGCGCTGCTGGTTTAGTAGCGACGCCGACGCTGCTACTTTTTCTTGACAGCCGCCTTGTGCTGGATCTTCTCCTGGAGCTGGCGTATCAGCTGCTGTATGTCGTCCACATTGTACGCATAGATCAGCTTGCATTGCTTGGCCTGAATATTGCCATTGTTGAGATTTTTTAAAGCATGCTGCAGGCAGTAGACGTTGCCCTCCTCGGTGCGCACCATCGATATATACAGATTTGCGCGGCACAGATCGCATTCGCTCTCGATTGATTTGTGTGGCGGCTGCTGCTGCTTTTTTGCCTTTTGGCCCTTCTCCGCCTGCACCTTTTCGGTAGACGTGACGCCAGCAGCCTGAAAAATACAATGTTTCATTAGTACTGACTGATTTGGCGTGCTCTAAATGGGAACATACTCTGAGCTGCTCGCGTGCCGCCGATTCCTTCTCGCAGACCTCGTTTAGCATGGGCAGCATCTGCTGTAATGTGTCTGAATTGACGCGCTGATCATATCCCAAGGCGAAGAGCAGCTGCTCCAAAGAGAACATGGCCGGTTCACAGCTCTCATGAATGTCCTGCAATGGTAAGACAGAGTTCAAATGGATACCAAGCAACTAACCAAGTCAAAGACTCACCCTAAAATCATCCTTGGCCAGGTCCAGCCACGACATGGTAGCAAAATAAACGCTCTCTGAGACCACATAGCCCGTGGCCAGGCTGGAGGTATAGGCGCGCGGAAAGACAACAATAAATTCGCCCGGCTTCTGCTCGATGCGGCACAGGGAAACGCCGCGGTCGGTCAGCATGTGCGGAGGCACCATCACCGTATCACAGGGCAACCAGATTGTCTTGTTTTGACAGTGCGTCGGTATCAATGAGGTCAACGCCGAACGGAAATTGGCGCTCTGGTCGTCGGGTATGCCATACCACAGCTTGGAGGCGCCCGTATGCAGATACTCGATCCAGGACAGGCCGTGCGGATCACGATACCAACAGCAGGCGGAGAAGAGCATGCCCACATGGAGCGTGGGCACCGTAACGCCCATTACAGGTCCCAGAGAGCGCAACACAGAACCCGCATTGTTGGTCAGTACTTTGAGGTTCCAGGGATGTCGCGCATAGTTCGAGCCCTTGCCCTTCGGCCCCGGACTGGGAAAGCCGTAGCCCCAGCCGGAGCTATCAATGGACCCGGAATGCACACACACATGACTGTCGCGCACGGCAACATGACGCCAGAATTCCGCCTCCACCTCGTTGACCGTGGGATCGGTGCTCTTGAACCAGAGGGCCATTGTATTGCGCGCTATGCGATAGAATTGGCTGAGCGCCATGCTGCGACCCTTGACAATGCACTCCATGGAAACGCCGTCGATCTCCTCCTCGGACTCCTCATCCTCGTCCGTCGACACATCATCTTCCTCGTTCGAAACGCTCTCGGTGCTATTCACAAAACGATCTGCATTGCGCCGTGCGCGTGCCTCACGCTTGGCCCAATCGGCTTCGACCTCGTCAAAGAGCTTCTGTCTTTCCGCCGGGGAGAGAGTGTCGTAGGGCAACAAATACTTGCAGTATATGTCATCCAGTTTGGTCACCCGATCCTGTGCCAGCTTCGGTATGCACATCTCTTCGGCCACACGCGCCCACTTCTTCTTCTCGATGACCTCTTTGAGGCCACCGAGCTCCTGCACCGTGTGATATAGACGCGGCAGATCCACCTCCATGCCGCCAATCCATGGTGCATGATTCATCACAATGCTCTGCGTGGCCAAATACTTTTTGATGGCGCTCAGCTCCTTGGCACTGGGTCCCCAGCGATGCAGCATCTTGTGCACGTACTGGTTGTACGCCGTGAAGCGCATCTCGTCCGAGATGCGGCACTCGGGCTTGAAGCTGGCCGGCGGTATGATCTTGCAGATGCCAAATCTGGCTGCAATGGGCGTGATGCGTTCGATGAACTCGATGGGATCGGCAAACTCCTTTTCGGTGGGCTTAAATATGGGCGCCTCGACCATTTGCGTGGGATCATCATGTCGCGGGAATGCCGTATTATTGGCCATCTTAATGGGCGTATCGTCTTTGTACTTCTTGGCCAGGGCGTTGCTCGCAGCCGCTGCTGCAGCAGCTGTGCGCGACTTCCCTGAGCCCGAGAAGAGCGAAGAGTTGGAATTGACGCGCACCAGGCCACCAGCTGCTGTCGTCGCCGTCGCCGCCGCAGCTGCTGCGGCTGAGGTGCTGGCTTTGAGGCTGTTGCCGGCGGTTGCAGAAGCAGCTGAATCATTCGCCGCATTCAGTAGCGTTTTGACCAGCTCATTGTCCGGCAGCGGCTTCGAGGAGTTGGTGTCCATTTGCGCCTTCGTGACGAGAGTTGCCTGCATGACCACCTTCTGGTTGGGCCCATCGGGTCCCTCGCGTCCCAGCTTCACGGCCACGCCCTGTATGCCACCCTCGCCGCCGCCGCTGGCGCCTTGCAGCAGCGGTATATAAAAGGTGGCGCCCTCTGCGTCCGAATCTCCGCCAGCGCTGGCAGCTGTGGCTGCCGCTGCTGCAGCGGCTGCTGTTGCCTGTTGTTGCTGCTGCTGCTGTTGTTGTTGTTGCTGCTTTTTGCGCGCTGCTGCGGCTGCTGCCTTGGGCTTCTCCAGCTTGTCCGTGGGACTAAGCGTCAGTTGAACCGCCGTCGCTGCCGCTGCTGCCGCGGCGCGTTTCTTTGTGGGCGAACGCTCGCTGAGCGCCGGCGGCGGCGCCGCAGCTTCGTTGTCCGCGTTGCGACGCCGATTTGTCGCTTTGCCCGCAACAGTTGCAGCTGCCTCCTCATCCTTGCCAAAGGCATAAACGGAAGTCTTTTCGGCCGCTTTGCCCGACTGCTGCTTGTTGTCCGTCTGCGCTTGGGCTTTGCCCTTGTCCCTTGTCTGGCTCTGATAGACGGGCGTGCGCTTGGCCGGCGTTGTCGGCGCTGTTGCCGGCGTGTTGTTGCTGCTGCTGCTGTTGGTGGGCGGCGGCGTGGAAAGTTTTGATGCAGCTGCAGCGGCATTTGCCTGCTTCTTGCTGGCCGCCTTCTGTTTGCTCGGCGGCGGAGGCGGTGTTGGCGTTGCGCTGGGCGTTGGAGTCGCCGCCGCGGAGCTGCGTTTGCTGCCCGCAGCAGCTGTAGCTGCCGCCGCCTTGACGCTATTGCTGCCCGCATTCTTGGGCTTCCTTTCGCTGGGCTTCTTCTCGCTAGCAGCTGATTCCAGCTGCGTTTTCTGCGTCAGATTCACGGGCGTCACGCACTTGTCAAAGTCCAGCGTTTCCGGCTCCGTTTCCGTCTCCTTGCGATTGCAGGCAGCTGTTGCGGCTGCTGCTGCCGTGCTCACCAGCACCGGCGTGGCCTTCAGCGATGGACCCTTGGCTGACCAGGCGCTCTCGCTTTTGCCGAGCTCGCCGCGCGTGTTCTTGGAGGAGCTGCTGAAGCTGGTGCTCTCCTTGTCGTCGCGCGTGGGACCTGGCGGCGTTTGCGCCTGCTGTGGTCGCAGACTGTCATCGTAGTCATCGTCCAGATCATCCTGGATCTCGTCCGGATTCGAGCTGCACTCGATTAGCCACTTTTGTATCTGCTCGTGCGTCATATTCACCTTGGCCTTGCGTCGCTCCTTGCTGGACAGCTGATCGCCAAAGTAGCCCTCGGTGGGCACCACGGGACCCAGCACCGGTTTGTGTATGGAACCGCATTTGCCCAGCGTGCACTTGGTGTTGTCCGGGCCGGAACTCTGCGCCAGACTAACGCTGGCTATGCCAAAGATCTTGCCCGACTCCTCCTTGCTGGGCATGAGTGTTGCCTGCGCCAAGATGCTTCCAATTTCATCCTTAAGCGGATCTGCATTGTTGTTGTTATTGTTGTTGTTGCTGTTGTTGTTATTGCTGCTGCTGTTATTGTTATTGTTGCTGCTGCTGCTGGGCTGAGTTGCAGGCGTTGCTGTGGGCGTGGTTGGCGACACCTGCTGCTGCTGCTGCTGTTGGTGTTGTTGTTGCTGCGCGGCGGCAGCTGCTGCTGCTGATGTGGATGCCACAGCCGTCGGCGTTGCAGTCAGACTGAGATTAAGACTTTGACTTTGACTAACTGCAACAGTTTTTGGAGCAGCTGCCACGGGCGTCGCCAGGCTGTTAAGCGTGCCACGCGTCGCTGTCGGTGCCGCAAAGCTGTTGTTGCCCAGCGCATTGCTGTTGCCCGCGGCGCTGCTGCTGCTGTTGTTGATGCTGCTGTTGTTGATGTTGATGTTGTTGGCGCGCGGCAAGACGCTGCTGCGCTCGTATTTGGGCGTTAGGAAATTGGGATTTATTTTGGGACATTGATAGGCTTCGATGGGCGGCGGATAGGTGGTGGGCGGCGTTTGATATTTCAGCGGAGATGTCCCTGTGCCCGCTGCTGAGGCCAGCGTTGAGGTCACCTGCTGCTGCTGCTGCGGTTGCTGCGGCGTCTTGTTGCCGACGGCGGCCGCAGCAGCCGCTGCAGCGACGGCACTAAACGTGGGCGGCCGGACATAGGGCGTGTGATAGTGCGGCGATGCTTGCGGCAAATAGGACGAGGTCTTGGGAAAGCCCACTGCGCCAACGCCAGCGCCAGCTCCAACTCCGGCGCCTGGCAGCGCATACGTGGCGGGCACATTGAGTATCTTCGATGTGGGCACCGGCGACTTCTTTTCCATGGCCTTTAATGTGGCTGCGGCGGATGCGTAGCTGGGCGGCGATATTGAGTACGGCATGGGCTTGGCGGTCAGCGGCAGCATGGTCAGCTGCGTGCTGCTCGACAGGCTGTTGTTGGGCGTGGCACTAGGCGTGGCACTGGGCGTGGCAGTCAGCTGTGGCTTGACAATTGTTGTCGTCGCAGTTGTTGCTGCTGCTGTGGATGCTGCAGCAGCAGCTGCTGTTGTTGTTGGAGTTGTTGTTGCAGCAGCTACTGCTGCTGTTGTTGTTGTTGCTGTTGTCTCCACTTTGCTGCTGGCTTTGGCTGTTGTTGTTTCTGCTGCTGCTGCTGATGCAGTTGTTGTTGCTGCTGCTGCGGCTGCGGCAGCTGCAGCTGCTGTAGCCGCTGCTGTTGGCACTTTTATGGCCAGCGGCTCATCGTCGGAGTCGCTAAAACTCTTTTCCAGCTTGCGCTTCGTTTCGTTTAGCTCCTCGTTGATTAAAAAATCCTCCTCCGCATCGGAGTCGTCTTTTTCCTGTTGCTGCTGCTGCTGTTGTTGTTGTTGTTGGTTTTTTTGCTGTTCGGACTTGGCTTTGGCCAAAGCCAGCGCACCCTTTTTTACTAGCATGCCCTCAATCTGCGGCTTGACGTTTCCCGCTGCTGCCGCCGTTGCTCCAGCTCCAGCTCCAGCACCGCCTTTTGCCTGCTTGGGCGGTCGTCCTCGTCTGGCCGGCGGCGCTGCCGGCTCAGGCGCTGACTGCGACTGCGGCTCGGCAGATGCAGCTGCAGCTGTTGCTTCAGTTGTTGCTGCTGCTGCTGCTGCTGTTGGTTTGTTCGACTTTTTTGAGGCGGAAGCCTCGTTCGTTTTGCCCGTCGCATTTTTCTTCATCTCCTTTTCCATTTTCTCCATTTGCTTGACATTGGGTATGTCCGGAAAGCTGCTCAGCGAGAGATCATCCTCTTCGTCATCGGCCAGCTGCAGCTTGTGTCCAATGATGCCCATGTAGATGGCCGCCGCCTCCTTCGTTTTGCGCGACGGTCGTTGACTTCGCTGCGGACTGGGACTGGCCGATCGCTCGTTGCCTTTTTGGGCCTTGGCCTGCGCCTGGCGACGCACTGGACGCGCATTGTTGTTGGCCTGCTTTTTTGGCGAAGGCGGTGTTGACTCTGTTTCAGGCTCCGGCTCGTTGTCGGCATCGTCGTCATCGTCCGGCTGCTCGGCTTTCTTTTTGAGCGCTTTGCCGCGCCTTGCTTTGGGCAGTTCTTCTGCTTTGCTGGTTGCGGCGGGCGTCGCTGGCTTCTCTTCTTCCCGCTGCTGCTTTTTTGCCGATCCTCCAGCGGATTTGCGTCCACGTGCGCTAGTTGTGGCTGCGGCTGCTGCTGCTCCTGCTCCGGCAGCCCCGCCCTTTTTGCCACCCTTTTTCAGCTTTATGGCCTTGGCCAGCGGCTGCTCATCATCGGAGCTGAAGTCGAACACATTGAGACCCTTCTGCTGTTCGGCAGCTGCCGCAGCTGTGGCTGTGCCTCCATTTTCGAGCTGCTGCTTGGCCGCGTCTTTGGCATAAATGCTGGAGTTCGTTTTCTCCTTGCTGATCTCGGGCTGTTGTTTCTTGGACTCTGTCGCTGCGGCTGGTTTCTTCTGCTCCTGCAGCTCCTTCTCCTTCTGCTTGTCCTGCTGCTCCTTGTCCTGTGGCTCCTGCTTGGGCGGCACCTTGACGGGCTCAAAAAAAGCACGTTGTCGTGTCATGCGCCCGGAAGATTCGGGTGATGGTATAAATATGGGTGATTCCCGTTGCCGCACACGCTTCACTGGCCCCTTTTCCTTATCCTTGCCGGCGCTGTTGTCCGTGGCAGCTGGTGAATGAGATGCAGCTGCCTTTCTGCTCGCCGCTTGGCTGCGTCCGCGCTTGGCATTTGAGTGCGTTGTTTCCGACTTGGAAAGCGTGTCGTCGGCGCCGCCATTCCGTGAGCTGGCATCGTGCGCCGAAAAGAATTCGTCATCGTCTTCTTCCTCCTCCTGCTGCCCCTCATCTTCTTTGCCGTGCTCAGCTGCATCAGCTTTATCCCGCTTCTGATGCTCGGGCTCATCATCCTTTTCCCTGTTGTTGGCGCGATTCGAACGACGTTTCAATGTCTCCGGACGCCTTGCGCCACGTCTATTTCCCTCAGCTATCACCTCGGCGCGTTTGCGCACAGCACCCGCCAGCAACAGAGGCGCCGCCGGCAGCGGCGTCACCGCCTCAATTTTATCACTAGCCGTTTTATCATTGGCCGCCAGCTGCTGCACCTGCTGCTCCACCTGCTGCTGCTGCAGTTGCTCAACGGCAGCTTTCGCTGTTGCAGTTTTGGCAGGTCTGCCGCGCTTCTTCTTGCTGCTGCTGTTGCTGTTGTTCTTTTTCTTGTTGTTGTTGTTGCTGGCGTCGCTGCTCGGCGGGAGCTCGTTTGGTTTGGATTTGCCCTGATTCAAATAGTCCAAGTGGGCTGGAAGCGCAGAAGTGCCGCGAAAGCAAAGAAATGTTAAAAAATCCTGCGGCTTGGGACACTTGTTCGGCAATATCTCAATTGGAGGCTGATGGCTTTCTGTGGATGTGCTTGGTCCAGACGCTGCCGCTGCCGCCGCTGCAGCTGCTGCGACGCTGGCGGCACTGAATGGGCCCGCAGCGTTGGGCGCGCTCTGGCCCTGCGCGAACTTACGCTGTGCCTGCACCTTCGTTCTGCAATAGATTGGTCGTAAAAACGGGGGGACGGGACACAGAAAAGATAAAAGTGTGAGTGAATTTTGACTGGTAACAGATGCAACTGGATACAAATTACATGCAAAATCAAAAACAACAAAAACGCATTGAATTTCCCCAATACATCACAGACACGCACGCAGCCACACACACACTCGCACACACACACATGAACACCTGCTCTACCCTAAAGCAAATGGGAATCAGCCCTTTGCATGTTACAACAACAACGCCACGACGCTTGTGCAACAGTGTTGTCCAGTTTTTTTTTAAAGCTAAATCTAGCCCTTTTTTAGAGACAATTACAGCTGTTTTGGCTATATTTTTATATTGTATCAAATTGGAAAGCCTTTACCAACACTAGTTGACTTGATACATATTAATTAGTTTTAGCTTTTTCGTAACTCTTTAAGTTGACAACACTGTTGCTTATACAATGGAGCGCACCACACTTCACGTAGAGCGGGAGAGTTGGGAGGGCGCTGTTGCTGTTAGTGTACTTAACAGTTAGTCTGCTGCTGCTGCGTCGTCATCTCTTTATACGATTTACATACATATGTAGGTATTTACGATCATACAGATAGATAGGGGGAGGCATAGGCTCACCTTTTAGGCATCTCGGGTGATGACTCCACAGCCACAGTCACCGCCGCCGCCACCGACGATGACGTTGGCGGTGTCTCCGTTTCCTTACGGCGACGCTTGTTGTCTTTTGAGACAACCATTTTGTTGCGAATTTTTCGCGCCTCTTTTTCCCCAATATTTCTCTGACACTGAGAAGTGGGAATGCGCTCGTTAATACACAGTTAATAATAAACTCTTTATTTGGTAGCAATCGCAATTTGTTTTTATCCCCCGTTCTCTGCATTTACATAAACGTACGCAATTGCCAATTTTCCACTGACATTACAAACACTGATTTTGTTGGTGGTGCCTGCACAAAGTTGAAATCATATTTTCGCGTCATATTTTAATTACTTCGCCCAGCCGTACGCATTATAATCGTTACACTAAAATATACATTATTGTCTCACTGTTATTGTTATCGTACACATCATTAGTTTACATTTCACTGGCTGCAGAAAAATTTAATTTTTTTACGTTAGATTTTTCATTCTGCTTGCACATAATTTTTTTTCCCCACCGCTTTGCTTTGTGTCCGCCATGACATTAGAGATGAACAAAAACGTCCAAATATCGTTCAATATACGCAATATTGGCAGTCGTCATGCAGACATGTATGCAGAGAAAACGCTTTTTAAAATATGAAATGGGAACCAGCAAACTTAAAGCGGCTTGAAACTGCGGTAAGATTTTTGCTAATTTTCTAAAAAAAATTTAGACATTATTATGTCGAATTGGTGTGCTTGTATTAATTTGCAAAATTGAACATTTGTGTTGCATATCGAAATTATCGTCGACTACAATCGATAGTGTGCGTATCAAAATATACCTAAATATCGTATCGGTTTCAAATATCGCTACAATATGAACATCCCTAACATTAATCGTGTAGCTTGTGAGTTGACAAAAAAATTTTTTAGTGGCAAATTTTGCAAATTAAGCAACCTACAACAAGCTGCACACAATGGGCGAAGGAGCAGGCAATTGGTGTCTCATAGAAAGTGATCCGGGTGTATTTACGGAGCTGATACGTGAATTTGGTAGGTTCAAGTGCCGCGCGCGCTTTTTTTTTGCAAGAGGACGCGGAAGCTAATGCCGGCATGGAATGGCGCTAAGCGTGGTCCTCATCAATTAAACTGTTTATTTGTTTTCAAAGGATGCGATGGTGCTCAGGTGGAAGAAATCTGGAGCCTGGACAGTGAATCATTCAAGGACCTGGAGCCAATACATGGTCTAATATTTTTGTTCAAGTGGGTGCAAGAGGACGAACCTGTTGGCAAGGTTGTGTTGGATCGCGATCATATATTCTTTGCCAAGCAAGTAATTAACAATGCCTGTGCGACACAAGCCATACTTAGTTTGCTGCTGAACCTGAATCACGAGGACATCAAGCTAGGAGAAACTTTAACTAACTTCAAGGAGTTCTGCCAGTGCTTCGATCCCTACAACAAGGGTCTCACGCTGAGCAATGCCTCGCAGATACGCACCGTGCACAATTCGTTTGCGCGACAAACGCTTTTTGAGCTGGACATGAAGAACCAGAACAAGGATGAGGATGTCTATCATTTTGTTGGCTATATGCCCATTGCCGGGCGTCTGTATGAGCTAGATGGCCTGCGCGAGGGACCCATCGATCTGGGCGAGATCAAGCCGGAGCAGAATTGGATCGACGTAGTCAGGCCGATCATTGAGAAGCGCATGCAGCGATACAGTGATGGTGAAATACATTTTAATTTAATGGCCCTGATCTCGGATAGACAGCGCATCTATGAGCAGCAAATTGACAAGCTGCTCAATCCGGCTGCCAATGCCATGGACACGGCGGAGGATCGTCAGACTGAAATAAATAGCCTGCGCTCATACATACAGTATGAAATCGAGAAGAAGAAACGATATAAGGCATTTACATTTATTAAACATAAATATAAAAATTTTTACTAGCTTTTATATTAATTGCAATCTGTTGCTTTTGCAGGTGGAAAACGTGCGACGCAAACACAACTATTTGCCTTTTATTGTGGAGCTGCTCAAAATGCTGGGCGAGACTGGACAATTGCTGCCCATCTATGAGAAGGCCAAGCAGCGGGCGCTGGAGCGAGAGCAAAAGATGAGCAAAAAAGATTCCAACTAGATTCGCGTTTACCAACACCTTTCGCTAACGGCAATTCAAAATTGCGCGCCAGTTGGAATACAGAAAACATATTCTTATTGCTACGTTTAAGTAAAACAAATCTTTCGGCAAGGAGTCGCGTGTGTGTGTTAGTTAAGTCGCCCATATAAACTGCCTTGTATTGTATTTTACTTCTTTTGTACCCCCCAAATGCCTCCAAATTGCTGCAAGTTAATATTCGTGAGAAAGAACTCAATTTTGAATCGATAATAAAAAGTTTCCGTACAGTTAAATAAAAGAACAAAGCAAGAGTCTTGGCGGTTTAGTATATAATATATTTGTTTATGTTATTTTTATATATATTTTTACAATTGCTATGCTTGGTATTTGATTTTTGCGTTTCCGTTTTAAATCTTTTATGTATCTATATTGTTTGTTGTATATAAGTATTGTATATAGGAATAATTGTTTTGTTAATCTTTTATGTTTGCTCTACTGTTACTTCAGTGTTATGTTCTGTTCTGTTCTGTTTTGTTGTGCGTGCGTCTCTTCGTGTTGCTAATTTAATTGTAAACTTTTCTTCGCTCAACTTACAAACTATATGCTATAGTTGATGTGTATATGCATATTAGGGAACTTTCTTGGGAGGTCTTTGATTTATTTTTTGAATTTTGGTGTTGCACTTAAAATCTAGCTTAACTCTATATACTGTATATATATATATATATATGTTTGTTAACCTTTTGGAAAACAAAAATGAAAGAATTTGGAAACCGAAGCACGAACTACAAATTTATAGAATCGAGATAATGCCAAGGTTTGGCATAAAAAACTATTCTTGTTGGAGTTTCCGTTTTATGTCTAATTGGAATTGTATTCTCATTACCGTTATGATGGTAATTTCTTTAAATTTGTTATACTAATTTTTACTAATTTCTTGTATTCTCTTTATAATTTAGCACTTAGTTTTCAATAATTTACTTAGCATCATTTCGCTTAACAATTTCCACATTTTGCGTATAATTTTGTTTTTGTTTTTCTTTTTGTTTCTTTTTCGTTTTGAAGACACAACAGTTACTGGTCCAGTTCCAGGAAGTATATGTAATATGTATGCGTGTGTATGTGTATATTTGGTGTGTTTGTTGTTGTAGCTTTGCAACGCCAGCGCAGGCGCTAAGGATAGCTTTTACCGTGGCACATAACTGTATTGCGTCGTCAGTTCGCTGCACGCATCGCTCTGCTGCGTAGCTGCTGTCAGTGCGGCGAAGGCGTGCTGTGGGCGTGGCGTTTGTGTTACCAAAGAATTAGCCGCCTGTGACGATGGCGGCGCGGTATCGTACTTTGTTAAATCGACACTTGTTGCTATAAGAAGAGAGGCAAATTATATTAAAATATAATATATACATCTATTAGAGTTGCCCGTTGTACTGAAAATATTGCAAGACGTAAATATTTTCATATACAAGATGCGGGCTAAATTTGATTGCTACCCAAAATTGGCATTTACCAAATATGATTGGCTAAATGCAATTTAGTTATTTACTTTAAATGAAACCTTTTCGAAATAAAGAGAGAAAGTGAAATATTTGCGTTGCTAACATAAGTATTTGAGCTGATGAAAGTGATTTAAGCGTTAAAAAAAGAATCGATTTAAATTTTGTAACTGGTCACACTTTAATTGCAAATTTGGTATTTAGTCAAGTTTGAACTTAAAAATGCCATTTATTGTATTAAAGTGAAACGAACATGGTTTACCAGCCGCATGCAGGCGATTGTAGAGATTCTTGCGCTTCTTCTTCAAGAGTACGTCCAAATTGTAACTGTCCGGACCAGCTCTGCGAAGTAGATTTAAGCGAATCAGTATTAAGTGTTTATTCAGTTAAATGAGTAAACTTAAAGCTCACTTGTCGGGTCGTCCGTTGCCCAGCAACTCCTTGAATGCCACATAGATCTTGTTCAGCGTCAGATTGGATAGCCCCTGGCCCAGATATCGTACAAATTTAAGTTGTTCACATTTGGATAAAGCGCTCTCGTGGAAGTCCAAAAAGGGTCGATGATCGGATATCTGATATTCCTAGTTGAATCAAAGCAAAATATGCGAATCAGTTAAGAAATGGGCTCTACTTTAAGGGAACGGCAAGAGTTTTGTTCTATGCTCTAGGGATGACGGTGCAATTTTGAGTTCTACTAATACTATAACAATGAATAATGCCAATGTGTGTATATTAAATATAGCCAATTGTTGGGTAGGGTTTTTTTTTTGGGCTACAAGAACAAAGCTCCGCTGCACGCTACGCAATCGCCTCCATCCTGGTTGAGGCTGTGCGCGTTTAGGATGAGCACGTCGATACACATTTGCTCACATTGCAAAACTTGATGAAGTTCTCGATGAGTATGCACTTTTCATAATTGCTCAGACATTGCTGGCTACTACTCTGTATACCGAACTGTTTCAATAGCTCCTGCTTCTTGGGCGGCAGGCGGCTGATGTGCGTGCAGACGCCATCTTCGATGCGATGCGTCTCGTGCACATTGAAATTCTCATAGATGATGAGCTGTTCGAGTGAACGCGGCGGCGGTCCCAGCGGCGGCAGTGACGGTGGCGGCAACAGGGGCAGCGACGCAGGCGCCACACAGCCATAGCGTGTGTCCAGGGGTTGAGCAGTGGCCGCTGCTGTTACGTAGCTGTTAACTGTGTTGGCGCTGTTACCGTTGTTGCTGCTGTTGCTGTTAACGCTGCTGCTGCTGCTGTTGTTGTTATTGTTGCTATTGCTGCTGCTGCTGCTATTGCTGGCAAACTCGAGCGTACCGTCATTTGCGGCCGCCATATTCTTGAGGTCTACAAGAGAGAGTTTCATTTTTATAGAGACAGCAAGGGGAAGAGAAATAGAGAGAGAGAGAGATAGAAAAAAAGAGCGCAGCGGCCAATGCATAAGAATTCTGACGCTTGGCTAGCACAAATGCAGGGATACGCGAGAACAGGCTCAATAAATACTCATTAAAAATAAAAATAACTTTTTTTTTGGTTTTTTTTTGCTATGTATGTATATAGATATATGTATATTTGTTGTTGCAAACAAAATTTCGCTTTATATGTTTGTATATACATATATGTAGAGGCTGTGTATATAGTTAGGATGGGTTTTGCACATACATATAATTTGTTCCTGGCTTACTAAAATATATATGTTCATATATATGTATATATACTAATACATATTACTTTCAATAGTTGCGCATTAGCATGATTCTCTATAATGACAGTTTACATGTGTATGTGTGTTGTGTGTGTGTGTGTGCGTAATTATAATAATCTCTTTTCAAGGAATAACATTGCATAGTTCAGGGCGTGTTCATCGTCCAACAATTTAGTCGTTTAACATAATACATATTAAAAAAATTTGGCAATAAGCTTGTAAAATTAGACTACAAACGAAATACATACGCTAAGAGCAAAACAGGACAAAGACAACATGATAAACAAAAATAAACCAAATGGTGTAAATAGAAGAGCTAAGAGCTAATAATAGTTGTTGGGGCTTTTATTATTTTTGTTTCTTTCGATTTTGATACTTTAGGTAGCTGGAGCGCCGCCTACGATTGTCAACAGGTGGCGCCACTGCCGCCATATTTGGCGCCACGCCGACGCCAGTCTCACATATTGGGCGGCAGCGCATGCGGCGGCGGCTGTGCTGCAGTTTGGGGTGTCGTTGGCGCCACCTGTTGGCCATAGCCGAGGGGTGCTGCCATATGTGCGTGTGGATGCGGATGTGAGTGCGGATGTGGATGGGGATGCGGATGGGGATGGGGATGAGGATGCGGATGTGGTGGCAGCCCGTAGTGCGTTTGATGCGGATGTGCGTAGGCAAAGTGATGCGAATGCGGATGTGGATGTTGCTGCATATGTGGATGCGGATGTGGATAGTGATGCGGATGCGGTGGCGCATGATGTGCTGCGTGCTGTGGATGTTGTTGCTGATGATGATGCGGCGTCAGGGGCGGACCACGCGTGGGCGTGGACGACTGCTGTTGTTGCTGTTGCTGTTGCTGCTGCTGCGGATGCTGCTGTTGCTGCGGCTGCAGATGATGCGGCGGCGGTGCATGCGGCTGCAACAAATGCGTATGTTGCGGATGCGGCGTTGCCGCTGCTGGCGTTGTGGGCGTGCCCGGCCTGGGCAGGGGCGTGCCAGTGGGTGTCATTGTGCGTGCTGCTGCTAATAACGGCGCCTGATGCTGCGACTGCGCTGCTTGCTGCGTGTGTAAGTGTGTGCTGCTGTTGCCTGTTGCGTGTGTGTTGTTGTTGTTGTTGTTGTTGTTGTTGCTGTTGTTGTTGGGTGCTGTTATTGTTATTGTTGTTGTTGCTGCTGCTGGCGAGGCTGGCGCTGATTCGCATTGCTCTTGTGTTTGTTTGAGCGGTGTGGATGTTGTTGTTGTTGTGTTGTTGGTCTTGTTGCTGTTGTTGTTGTTGTTGTTGGTATTTTCGCCTAGTGATTTAAAGCGAATGCGTGGAAAAAGAACAAGAAGAAGAATAAGAACACAAAAAATTGAAGTCAAAAATTAAAATTGTTTTTTTTTTTCGAGATTTTTTTTGTAGTGTTTTTTTTTGCGCTCTTTTCCGAGCGCAAAAATATGCAGCCAATTTTTAAATATATATTTTTTTGATTTTGCGTAACGAGAGCGAACAGAAAGTGCATGTGAAAATCAAATATATACATATATATAGAGAGCAAATGAGAAAAATGCAAAAATAGAAGAAAATCATAAGGCAAGAAAAGAGAAAACGTTTGGTTTTTGTGTATATATTTTTAAAATTTAGCACATTTCGCTTGAAGCTATTTTGAGGTTATTTTCACATTTTTTTTTTCTATTGCATTCTAATTTTTTTTTTTTGCCTGTTTGTTGTTGTTTTTTTTCGTTGCTGCATTTGCACTATACTTAATATTCGCATATGGGTAAAGAGAGAGAGAGAGGGGGTGGGGGTTGGGGGTTGTGTGGATTCGCTTATTTTTGGGGTCTGTGCACTTACCAGCTGTTGTATTGGCCAGGAAGCGCTTGGTCTTATCGAGTATATAAGGCAGATTGTAGCCATCCTTGGTATAGCTGCGAGAGAGAGAGAGAGAGAGAGAGAGAGAGAGAGAGAGTGGTATTTATAGGGTATTCATAAGTTGATAAGCGACTCTTTCATTTGGGATCTACTCACATTTCTGTGCGTTTGGTGCAAAACAGATTCTTAAAATTGCTATAAATGCAGAAGAGCGTAAACGTTGGCAATCCTTGGCCCAAATAGCGCGCGAATTTGATTTGTTCGGGCTTGTTGAGGCCACACTGGTTTAAGGATAACCACGGCCGATGATCCTTAATATCGTATTCCTGTTAAATAAATAGTTATAGTGGCATATATGGCGCTCTAAAAAGTATGCTACGTATGCTCTATGCAAAAAAAAACATCCTGTCTGAAACTTTGTTAATGTCCAAAGTAAAGGCAATTTATTTTATTTAGCTGAACATAAAACTAAGTTTATATAAAAACCTCCTCCTTCCCAGGAGCAGCAAGTAAACCTGGCCAAACCCCTTTTGCGGCTATTATAAAGCTGAAACTCATTTCCTGCACATATATACATATATATATATATATATATACGTGTTACATATGTATGTACCCATACATATATACCATATACTTAGCTACACCCGTAACTAGTCTCTGCCCAACCACCAAAGTAACCCTGAGCGGCACACACACACACACACACACACACACACACACACACACACATACACATACAGATGCAAATGAAAACTTTGCCCACTACTAATCAAAACTTATAATTCGTGTACAACGAAAAGTTGAAAACGAAAATTTTACAAAAGCCAAAAACTTGCAGACCCCAAAATGCAAACACAATCATAGAAAGGACTCTGCGCCTAAAAGCATGCCACACGCTCACACTCACACCCTCACACGAGCGCTCACACACACAATGTATATTTTATAGTGTAAAAATATAGAATAAAGCAAAAACGGAAAGAGAAAGGCGGCAAAAGCAAACCCAAATAGAAAAGCAAACAACATTTTCAATGAAGCCATTTTCAACAATGATGGCGACACGGGGTGAGGCGAACTAAGAGGAACTTGTGGGGGCTAAAAGGGTTGTCGCATGCCCATGTGCTTCTGCGTGCGTGTGTGTGTGTACGTGTGTGTGTACGTGTGTATGTTTGTGTCTGTGTTTAAAATAGGCGCAGCAGCTTGACGGACGGCTGTGTCTGTGCCAGTGCCAGTGCACGTGTGTGTGTTATTCGAGAGAGAGAGAGAGAGAGAGAGCGCGAGTCAACAAGCATCGTCGATGGGTCGTCGTGCGCTCGCTCGTCGTCAGCGTTGTCCTCGTCGTCGTCAACGTTAAAACTTATCAACATCCTCATAATCAGCGCGACGCCAACGTTGCCACCCAAAGCATCAGTCTGCCAACTTCTAAGCATACATGGCAACGCTGTCGAAAATGCCAGTGTGTGTGAATGTATGTACTTATAAATGTACAAATGTATGTGTATGCATGTATGCATACATTTGGGGTTCTGATTATGTTAAAAATCAATAGAGCAAAAAGGAGTGACGACGCCCAGCCACAGCAGCAGAAGGAGCTGGAGCAGGCCAAGTCAAATTTACCAAAATACTTTAAGCTTGACTTGGTATATGTGTATGTATGTGTGTGTGAGTGCGTTTGAAATTATGAGAGCGCGAGAGCTCGAGTAACCAATTCAACGCCTTTTCAATGATGACAGGCCCCTTCAGAGGCGTTAGCCGTGAAGAGGGCAGCGTGACGCTGGCGACTCATTAACAGCAGCATGCGTGGGAGAGAGAGAAAGAGAGTTAACGAACTACAAAGTGGGAGAGTGGGAATGGTAAGAGAGCCGAGCTTGGCTGTCAAGCCAAGTGTTGCTGCTTGATTGTTTTGGATGCTGCGGGTGGCTGGAGTGTACGTTTTATGTGTTTACATTCCCATGGCCGCTTAACTGTTTCATAGCCAAAAAAAAATAACAACAAAAAAAAACGGGAAGCATGAAATAAGAATGAAGACAGCAATGGCAATGTGTTGCGGTATTGTGTTTGTGCTTTTCCTTTTATTGTTTTGCTCTGTTGTTGTTTTCCTTGTTTTTTTTTTTTTGCAACTTATTGGCAGCACGCAGACTTTGTGTTTGTGCGTGCCTGTGCGTGACGTATCCTGCCCTGCTCGCTGAGCGTGTGTGTGTGTGTGTGTGTGCGTGCGTGTTTTTGTGTGGCGGCCTGCGGTTGTTGTCTGTGGTGTATGTTGTGTATGTGTGTATGTGTGTATGTGGTGTGATGCGACTTGTTGTTGTTTTTATTGAGACAAGTGTGAATTGTTTTTCTTTCTGTTTCTGTTTTGCTGCTTGTGCGTGCAACAACAGTTGTTCGTGTTGCCGCCGCCTGGCAATGATTTTGTGATTTTTGAGGGTTGCGTGTGCGCCCCAGTCACAAATCGTGTGTGCGTGTATGCGTGTGTGTTTGTTAGGGAGGCAACAAATTTCACACTTTCACTCTTTGCGTTTAACAGGTTTTTAACAACAATTTAAACGGCGCACGTGTGAAAAAAGGGTGGAAAAGGCTCATTAATTATTACCCAAATGCTCGTTTGGCTTTTCACTTTGGGGCGACCCTACTTGGGTCTTAAGTTAGTGTCGCCTGACCAGAAGCGATAGCTGACCGAAGACTTAAACCTAACCTCACATTAGGCTGTTCAGCCAATGTTAATGGGCGGTCGGGCACGGCGGCTGCAGCAGCGCGACAACAAAAGTTACATACAACAATATTTTATATGTATATTTTACATTTTTGGCAACAATCTGCATATGCCCATACCCTTGTAACCCCTTGTGTGTTCGTTATACAACACTAATTTAATGCGGCCCCAAAGGCGGCTAAAACGACGCATAAACCTAAATATTTTATGTCCATGTGTGTGTGTGTGTGTGTGTGTGTGTGTTGACAGTGTATGTGCATATATAGTCATCATATAAGTTTGGCAAGTACAGTTATACGAATATAAGCATGTATTTACATAGTAATTTATGTCTGTATGTTTGCGTACGTGTGCGTATATAATTTAAAATTATAATCAATGTACATGTGTTTCTGTGTGAGCGCGTAAATTGTGCAAAGCCGAGACATTGTACCTGCCCCAGCCAAGCGCCAAACGCCCAACGTCCTGCGCCCAACGTCCCAACCCGCTCTCAGCCGTAGTTTAGCTGTCCCTTACACACATACATACATATACACACAGATTGGCAAACTTATTGCAGATGTGTATTGGTGACTGCGGCTGCTACTGCTACTGCTGCTGCTGCTGCATGCGCATTTAGTAGCCTTCAACGACGCCGCTAGGGTCCCACACAGAAAAACATATATACATATGTTAATACATACGTACATGCATATGAAAGGACATACGAAGGCAGCTCAATGGACAGTCGGACAAACGCCCCAAGTAACTTGATGATTGTATGTATGTACAAGAGAGAATGTGTATGTGTGCGAGAGAAAGAGAAAGAGAGGGGTTCATATACAATTACTCAATAGCGCCCGCTTGAGCTTTTTGGGGGTTGCCAGACCCACTTACCCACACATAACTATACACTCACACACACACACACACAAGCACACAAGACTTTGTAGTTTGAGCAGCAGAAACCGCTGCCTCTGCCGCTGCTCCCGGCAAGTAAAGTTTTGCAAGCAAAGGAGTGAGTGTGTGCTAGAGAGTGAGAGAGAGCGCGCAACAATTTTGAGCCGAAACTGGTAGGGAGAGCAGAGCGACAACATCAAAGCTAGGCATCTTAAAACTAAAATGTTGTAATAGCGGCCGAAGGGCCGAGAAAGCAGCCATGTTGAAATAAGGTTAGGCCCTAGCTACTGCTGTCGTTTTTGTTGTTGTTCCTGTATTATGCCATCAATGCCGTTTCGTATATAGTTTGAGTGTGTGGGTTGTGCGGGTGCTGCTTCGACCAAATCTAGTTGATTGTGTGAGTGTGTGTGTGTGTGTGCGTTCCGATAAAGCTGAGCGTAATGAGCATTTGTCGGTGTGAGAGTTGGGAGGGTTGCCTGGCATAGTGTTGAAAAGGCGCCAAATGTGTTGGGGGCGATTTGTCTCTGTGTGTTTGTGTGTGTAAATACAAATGTACATATGTTTGTATGTAGGTGTTTGGAATACACAGGCACACATTGGTGCCACACATGATTACAGTTGTATTTGTATGCTGAATTTGTGGTTGTGGGTTTTGTGTTGCTGCGCTGCCCCGCTCAGTTGACGCTGGCGTCTCTGCTGCTGTTATTACAATTTATAATGACATTCGTTGGGTGAGTGTGAGTGTGTGTTTGTGTGTGTGTGTGTGTAGATGTATGGGTGTGATATGTGCGGGCGGCATATAATAGAGTGAGAAATGCGCTTGTGTAAAGGATATGAACGGTGTATCCGCGTTATGAATATATATGCTTACATATATGTACATATGTAAGTATCATGTATATATATTTAGATATATATATATATATATATATATTAATATATATGGAGCTTGTGATTATGTTAGCGAAAATCAAATTCTATTCATATTCGTATGTGGCATATGTAATGTGATGATAGAGAGAATGTTGAACATTAATTGAAACTGGAAAAATGATGATTTGACTTGTTCAAATAAGCTGATTACAGAGTATCCCCAAGCTGAGCAGTTTTCTTGAACTTACCTCACAAAATTTGATGAAGTTTTCGACAACAATCGATTTGTCCGTCAATGTCATTTGACCCGTGAATCGAACGCCCAGCTGCTTGAGCGTGTCCTTCTTCTTTGAGGGCAGCTTGTTCATGTGCTGGAAGATGCCCTCCTCCACCTTGTGCGAGGGATGCACCTCGAAGTTCTCCTTGATCACAAAGCTGCCCAATAGCTTGGGCGCACCGCCAGCTGCCGAGGAGGCGCTGGAGCAACTGGCTCCGCCCAACAGGCCACCAAATTCAGCAGCACTGCCGCAATGCTCCTCGGACGAGGTGTTCGAATTGGAGGCATTCAGATGGGAGCTGGGAAAGGCGAGCAGCTCCAGCGACGACTCATTCGAATTGGAGGCATTTGAGCCGTTCGAAGCGCTCGTCAGATGCTGCAGCTCGAAGATCGTTTGCTTCGAATCGTGATCGAAGACGGCGTCCAGCGTCGAGGAGCTGGCGTCCAGGCTGTTGGAAGAGCGCGAAACGGAAGACAGCAGCGCGGCGACTTTGCGCGACGCCGACCGCGACTTTTGCGTGATGCTCGTCGAGTCCAGATCCAGAAGGCCGACGCCGCACCCGCTGCCGCCCACCGGCGACGCGGCCAGCGGCGGTGGTGTGATTCTGCCCGCTGCGCCGGCTGCGGTCAATTTGCTGCCTGCCTTGTCCGCTGCCGCCGCCGCTGCTGCTGCCGCTGCGCCGTCGACTGCGTCGCTGCTGCTGCCGCAGGCGCCGCTGCTGCTGGTGCTGCTGCTGCTGTTTGGCGTAAAGTCCGTGGAGTGGCGCAGATATTTTATAAACTCAAAGGAACCATCGAAATGTTGAGCGGTCGCGGCAGCCGCAGCCGCAGCGGCGGCTGCAGCGGCAGAGGCTGGCGCGTGGCCGTTTGGCGTTGCCACCGCTGTGGGCCAGCGATTGTTTGGCAACGCTGTGATGCTTGACACTGCCGGCGTTTCGGCAGCTTCACGCTGCGACTGCGACGTCGCTGCCTCATAGTCAAGAAGCTCAGCGCTGCCGACGCCATTTGTGCATGAATACTGTGATTGTGGCTGTTGTTGTTGTTGTTGCTGCTGCTGCTGTTGCGTTGACTGAGCAAATACTTGAAATTCCTCGAAATTTGTGCATTTCAGCTCGCCATTGCTCAAGTACTTGGAAAACTCTGAAGGATCGTTCAAGGAGTTGAGAAAGAATGAGCTAAAATTGCTCGATATGCAGGACATTTTTATGTTCTTCTTTTTTCCTCTGTAGTTGTGTAGTTGTGGTTGGTTGTTTTTGTTGCTAATACTGTATATAATAACGCTTACAATTACGTGTGTGTATATGTATTTATTTATGTATATTTTTTAAAGCTGCTCCTTTTGCTTAATTATAGTAGTTGTTGTTGTTGTTGTTGTTGTTGTGTTGAAAATGATGGCACATTGAATGTTGTTCACTTTTTTTTTTATTTGCTGCTGTTTATTTTCTTCTTCGTTTGCTTTTGCTTTTGATTTGCGCAGCCTAACTGTTAATAATTTACACACATACGCGCACACACAGCTGCATATTTGCGCTGCCGCCGCTGCTTCTGCTGCTGCTGCTGATGTTTCGAAATTTACTTTTAGTTTTCCATTTCCAGCGTTTTTCTTACGTTCATATATTATTACAATTTTCCCCCCACATACACACACACACGAAAAACATTACTTGCACATGTGTGTGTGTTTGTGTGTGTATATAAATTTTTCTTCTTATTATAGCAAAAGAAAAGTGTAATTTATTATTCTTATAGCTCGCTCCGCTGCCGCTGCTGCTGCTGCTGCCGTTGCCTCTCTCTCTCTCTCTCTCTTTACCTTTCGCTCCTTGAGACGGCGACGCGGCCTTTTCACCGTATGTGGTCGCTTGTTGTTGTTGTTTTTGTAGCACTGTCTTGGCTAGCATGTGCAGATGTGTGTGTGTGTTCGTTCAATTGCCTGCCACTGCCACTGCCCCTGCTCCACACTCAAAACTATTGCCAGCTCTTTCGCACACGTATAAACACATAGCACATGCACTGCTTCTGCCAACGGCGACGGTGGCGCATGTATTGCCCTGCAAATAGGCGGCGATTTCAAACTAGTCTCTGCTCTGCGGTCTGGGCTGTCTTTTGGCTATCTTATTATTATAATTCTTTTCTTTTTTTCTGTATATTTTGCACTATTTTCACTTGACTTTGCTTCCTTTTTCGTCACATATTCGTTTCAAAACACACACTCACATATACAATCACAAACAAAAGTTATTGGCGAGGTGCGGTCGCGACGTTGGCTTTATATTTCGTTTTCCTCTTACTTTGCTTTCAAAACAAATGCCGCCCATACGTTGTGCTGTGCCGTCGCCTAGCGGAAAACGGAAAATCTTATGTTGTATTTTCACCGCTGCCTCGTACAGCAACGCGACGTAACCGTACCGCACTCGAATGAGAACTGAGCGCAAAAATGAGCGCGTTTGTTAATCTGTGCATGCTTTCTCTCTTACCAGCTCACAGACGTTCTCTCTCTTTCGCTCGCTTCGCTCTCACGTATGTGTATGTGTGTGTACGTGTGCTTGTGTGTAGCGCGCGCTCCTTGTAGTTGTAATCAAAATCAGTTGTTCGTTGTAGTTATTGCTGTTGCTGTTGTGTTGTTGTTGTAGTTGTTGTATATGTGCCTTAGTGACTAGGAAACGTGTATTTCTTCCTGTGACAGGCTGCTTTTGCTCTTTTTAACCCTTCCATATAAACCTGATTTAATCTTTGATTATTATGCCAGCGTTGTTGTTGGAGCTGCCGCAGCCGCTGCGGCTGCTGCTCTTGAGGATTATGGTTGCCTTTCCTTTGCTATTTTCGAAAAGTCCACTAAATTATCCGTTCTGTGTTGAATATGCGTTTGTATGTGTGCAGGTAAAACAGTTCATTTGCCTAGAGTTGCCATACGGTTGTATTTTGCGGGACCACCTGGAAGGCGAAAAATCAGTTGGTTTTTTTTATTAGTTTTCCGTTTTAGGGGTTTTTCATTTACGACTTTTTCATTTCGCGCCGCAGGCCATTTCTTAAACATTAAACATAAATGGCTTGCAGCGAGCAGGTAGCAGGTAAAGAGACAGCCAAGGCCATTATAACGACATAAACCATGACTGCAATTTGCACACGTTGACAACCCTGGCAGAGTCACTAAATAGGATAAGCACCCACACATCCCTCCGGCTCCATAGCCATAGCCACAGCCCGCAAAAATACTTAAGCCGCAACGCGACTTTTAGCAAAATTTACGGCCATTTAAAATTTTGTGCAAAGAATTTTTATAGTTGTTTTATACATACATATATATGTAGATACATTTTATATACAAGCACATTCGCCTTTTGTTCAATAAATATAATTGCCATTGCAGACGTTTTTAATTATAAATAGAGCGCGGCAGGGAAGTCATCAATTAGGCAAGAAAATAAAGGAAAAAAAAACATGCACTTGGCTTATTATAATTACCTTTTTGGCTGGCGTTGGATGTTTTTGGCACAATTTCGTATTTAAATTTTTAACGTGCATTAATTCCAATTTAATAGACACAGGCACTTAATTTTCGATGTTACAACACGCGCGCGCCACTTTACATTTTCCTATGTACATTCATATGTACATATGTGGGTAATTTTTCAATTAATTTTAATTATAAACTTAATTAGGAAATCAATGAACGAACGCGAACGGAACAAACATACACAATTGGGGAAAAGTCACACCAACAAGTGCGAGCGAGCAGATACACAAGTAGAACGGTGCGGCAACAAAAACAATGACAACAATACTCAAGTGCGCTGCGCATACAACAAAAACATCAGCGTTACATGCCCCCAGTTAGTTTACTGTTTGAATAACATTATTTGTTGTTGTGTAAAAAGAACTGATGACAAAACAGAAATGTAGCGTAACATAACGGCGACAATAACATGAACTATTATGAGCAGCGAACGAGTGCCGTGAAGAGTCACAGTTACAGTTGCTACATAACAGTGTGACCGTGCCAAAAACATTTCAGTTTGCCGCTCAGTAGCATTTCCCAATTTAAGCCCGATAGCGCGCAAAAATAACAAAATACAGTGGACTTTTATTGTCTATGCATATTTGCTATATAAATCTATATATATATTAAATATATATAATTCTGTTTTGATTTCACAAACAGCTGCTAATATGGTATCGATAAGTATCGATACCTTAATACCATAATAAGCGCACAACGTGCGCAAGTGATAAAAACAAACCTACAGCATGAAATTCGTTTTAAAAAGTATTAGTAAAAACTCTGGTCGCCTTGGCCAACTGCGGATCAAGGAGAGCAAGGAGCTGCAGACGCCGCTGCTGCTGCAAACAACCAAAGGCGGTAGCATTCCGTACCTGAGCGCCGAGGTATTCGATTTGGTCAGCCAGGAGCATCAACAAGTGCTGCAGCTGACGTTGTCCACCATGGATCAAATGTCCGAGTCCTTGGCGCAGTGGAATCGCAGCCTGAGCGACTATGTGGGCTATCCGGGCTACAACACGCTCTTGCTACTACGTGATCCTTGTGAAACGACGCCAACAGGTGGCAACGATCGGGATGTGGTGCCGCTCTTCACACGGCACGGCAAGGACTCACTGACAGCCGCACGTTACATGGATATGGTGGCCAACTTTGCGCCGGACGTGTATCAGGGCCTATGTGACGCGGACACAAATCCCGAGAGCACCAAGAAGCGTGTGCAAAAATCGGTGGATCGTACCGAGCGCTTAATGGAGCAGTGCTACGAGCAGCACAGCAAGCTGGAGCGACTGCAGGATTCCACGCTGCTGGCACCCATTGTGGGCGGCTACAGCACATTTGCCCGCACACAGTCCATCAAGCATGCACGCCAGCAACCAGCCGGCAGCTATGGTGGCTACATACTCGAGGGTTTCCATACAAACGGCTTGTCTGCCACAGAACTCAAGCCAGCACAGCTGCTGCCCATTGTCGAGCATTGCGTGCAGCAGCTAGAGGCGGAGCAGCCGCGTCTTATGCCCGGCGCCTACACGCCTTTGCTCCTGCTGGAGCTGATACGCCTGGGCGTGGATGTCTTCGACAGCTCCTATGCGTATTGTGCGGCCGCGAATTACAAGGCGTTGACATTCAGTTATGTCCGGGATAAAGCTGAGCATACGGCGTTCTTGGACGTGACGGACGAGGCCATCAAGGAGGACTTTAAGCCGCTGCTGGAGGACTGCAGCTGTCTCTCCTGCCAGAAGCACACGCGTGCCTACATTCATCATCTGTACAAGACGCACGAGCTGCTGGGAACCATTCTGCTGATGATGTAAGAGAGAAAGCTTAACATTTGATAAGTTTCTGTATGAATAATGAATCTTTTATTGGTCCAACAGTCACAATTTGCATCATTATATGTCCTTCTTTGAGGCAATACGAGCCAGCATGGCAGCGGATCAGCTACCGGAGCTGATCGAGCATGTGAGAATGCAGAATACGACAGCCGAGATCAATTATCGCATCGAGCCGAATAACAAGGTTGTAGGTAAGGCGGCCATGGGCAAGGGATTTATCGCAGCGGCCGTTTAGCTCGCGTCCAATGCGGTAAAAATGTTTAAATCCGAAATAAAATCGTACTTATGACTAACAACTAAAAGCCTCCTTGTGTGTTGAGCTCACTATATGACAAGCGACTGAAACCAGGCGGCATCGACTCCGCCATTGATAATATGCTTCACTTTCTCATAAGCTGACTCGTACGCATTGCCCGTAATGTCCTGAATGCGTTCGACCACCGTTTGCTCCGTCATGCTCTGCAGCTTTTCCGCATCTGTAAAGATATATATATATATTAGTATACGAAGTGTGCCTCTGGTGTCTCGCGCTCTTACCACTCAGCGGCAGAAAGCCGACCATCTCGCAGAAGCCCACATTGAATGCGGTGAGGTCCTTGGTCACGCAGTACTTGGCGCGCACAAAGACAAACACACGCAAGTCGTCGGAATGGTGGCTGTGCGTTATGAACAGATTGTGTGGCAGGTGATTGTCGCACAGCCATTCGGTGAGCCGATGCAGGCTGGCGACTTTTTCGCGCACTACCCGTTCGGTGTCTCTGGCTGTGATCACATAGCAAATGGCCTCCGTGGGCGACTCCGGCGACAGGCGGTACACATAATCGCCGGCCAGCGGCTGCAGCTCCACATTGTCTATGTACAGGTCGTGTGGTATGTGCACGATATGGAAATGCAAGTGATTCACCGAAGCCAAGGCACCCGGACTGTTGTAGCCCAAGCGTACGGCCCCATCGTCAATGTTCCGCATGAAATTGACACAGAAGCTGAGCGCCGACAAGGTGGCACGTTGCACCAGATTGTTTTTGACATCGGGACAGATGAGCGTGTGGTATTTGGTCAGAGGACTCTTGTTGATAATCATCTGTACCTCGGCTTTGTCCTTCTCCTTGTCTATGGTCATCATCACCTCCAGAGCATCGACTTTATTGAAATTAAATTGTTGGGGCTTAAATGTGGGACTCAGACTCTCAATAGGCTGTGGCACGCGCCGCTTTAAGCTGCGCTCCGCATTTAACTGCAAAGAGTAGGCACTTCAATTAATCTAGATTTTCCACAAGATCGGACGCACCTCGACATAGAAACCATACTTGCCGGGCAGCTTGCGGCCCTGCCTGGACTCCTGCAGCTGATAGGCAAACAGGCCGGGTATCTCGTGCAGCTGCATCCAGCGCACTTTCAGTGCATTCAGATAATGCTGCGCCTTCGACTCCAGGCTCATGCTGACCTTTTTGGGGCGCTTCTTTGGCTCCATGGCGCCCACAACAACGGCAAACTGCAACAGGGTTGCCAGACTGTAGAAATGCCTGTTGCCGGCTATTATTTTGACTGTTGACTTCTTTAAATTTTTAGATAAACTATGCGAAGCAAAACGATTTCGACGGAAAATTTGTCTGGCCGTACGCAAAAACGAAGACATGTTGGTAGCTGGTGGAGCCAAATGCTGGGTACAGAGAATTTTTCCTAAATTTAATTTGCTTGGCAACTGCGACAACTCTGGCGTTGCCAGCTGTGTTTTGTTGTGTTTTACAGTTGAACAAATTGTTGAATCCGAAAATTATGGCTAATCCAAGGCATGTGCGCGGCTCCTGCGAGAGCTTTTGTCCCGACGCAGAGGCAAAAATGTGAGCACGCTCCGTATAATATTTATTTGTATATATATATTTGTATTTTTCTTACAGGCGCATTAAAGAGAAATTGCTGAACTTCTTTGAGTACAAAGATGGCCAAAAGCATGTACCCGGCATCCTGGTCAAGGAGTTCACACGTTCCGCAGCTGATGCCAAGGTTCCCAGGGCGAAGGACATGCGCACTGAACGTTGCCTAATGAAAACTGTTGAATATCTGCTCAAAGAGTTAGTAAATATCCTATTGGAAATGGAATATCCAACTCAACTTTTACCCATTGCAGCATATTGACGGATGAACGCAAACCCTACCATCTGGCATATGATTTCATATTCGATCGTCTGCGCATGGTGCGCCGGGAAATCGTCATACAACAGTATGATGCGCGACAGACTATCCGGCTGCTGGAGCCGATGATAATGTTTCTGGCTTACAGTCGCTATCGCCTGTGTGCGGAACCCATTGAGAAATTCGATCCCAAAATATGCAATCAGCATTTGCAGGAGTGCCTGAATATGGTGCTCAGCTGCTATAACGAACTGGACGACGAGGTGCTAAAGGATCAGCCCACAATACGCGATGCCAAGCGTCGTTGCTTCATCGAATCGTTATATCAAATATTCAACCTGGGTACACCGGAGGCTCTAGTGCGGGGCCTAACGTTGCCCGCCCAGGTGCGAGAGGATGGGATCTTCAAGCTGGCTTTCAGCATATGCATGAACTATCACCAGGGCAATCTGTATCGTGTGATTAAAGGCCTGCCCCAGTTGCCGCACATCATATGCGCTGTGGCAGCCGCAAAGCTACAGACAATACGACGGCAAGTATTATATAATCATAATGCATTTATGTAGATTTTATTTATATTTTGTGTTTGCAGGCGAATACTGGAAATCTTCACGCATGCCTACAACAACAAACAGCTCACCGTGCCGGCAGCGTACTTGTTGCGTTTGACTTTGGTAGAGCCTCAGGAGCTGTTTGGGCTGTGTCGTCATTATAATATAGCTCTAACGCCCGATCGCAAGGCATTGCACTTTATTAAGACTGATTTTAAAAGCAACGCAGAAACAATAAAAGCGCAACGAGAACCTTTTATTGAGCAGAAATTGTCGCGTATTTATCTGCCGGAGGTGTTGCTGCTGAAGAAGCTGTGGTTATAGATCTCTATTAGCCGTATGTACATTAAATTACAGAAATGTATACAAATAAGTGTAATATAGTTTATTATTCGCATATAATGTATGTATGTGTATATACATATTTTATTTATTGGCATAGACAAATAGGTCGGGCGACCGGCAGGCAGGCAACCCTGCAATAAGACTTATCGTTATCGATAACAAGTATGCATCATTAATAGAATAAATTTGTATTGCCCGGCTATCTTGTCTGTGCCATTTAATGAACAACTTAATGTGTGTAAAGCCATTAAAAATATATGAAATTATTTTAACGCAATTTACAGCCCCCGGCAGGACGCTTGTCGTGCACACATCTGTATACATAAAGCGCGCGCAGGGTTGCATTTGATGTCGACGGTACGCTGTCAAACACTAACACCAACAAAAGTTGTACGCAAGAGAAAGTGCTTGAGCCATTTTGGAAAATACAATTCCGCCATATTTACCGGCAAAATTCAAAATATTTACATTGCTAGTAAACATTTAACGGCACATAAACAACATTGTGCACAAAACGGGCCGTGTGGCAACGCGAGGAGACCGAAAAGCGACACATTTGACAGACAACGTCTGCCACTGCCGCTGCTGCCGTCGACGCAGCGCCCCACGCACCGATGTCAATAGGACAGCAGTAGAGGAGAGACAAACAATTCAAATCAACAACAAAAACAACATTTTGCTACGCAATTGGCCAGCGGGTATGTTTAATGATATTCTATATTGGTTTGCTCTCTAATTGGTGTTTTGCAGTGGGCCCCATCCACAGACGCATATACATACGAGCGCGCGCGCCTACATATACAGTAACCCGCAATCACACACACACACAGACACGCACACACACTCACAAAGGCATACGTAAACACGCCAAACGATGACAAGTCATCATCAAGGCGGCAACTTTCAGGCCAGAGCGCCGCCAATCGTGAAAAATCTTTCACTAGCCGCAGCAGCTGTGCCGCTACCCCTACCCTTACCTCTGTCCCTGCCCATGTCGATGTCCTCGTCATCAGTGCACAATCACAATACAAACACAACATCGCCTTTGTACTTCACACACGTTCTGCCGCCCACCACGGCAATTGTGGAGCATCAGCATCCGTACAGCTCCGAACTGGATGGCACGGAGCACATAGGAGGGGCTGGAGACAACGAGAGTTTTCTAATTGAGGAGATTATAGATGATTATGATGATGATGCCAACATTGTCGTGGACGCAGGCGAATTTCTCATATCTGGCGATGTCTACGAATACTATCCGGTGGATCGTATGGATAGGCTGGCCACCTCGGTGGGCATGGCCACAGCAGATGCGCTCCCACCCTCAATTATTATGCAGCAGCAGGAGCAGGATAGCACCGATGAGGATGATGCACAACAAATGGATGGTGAGATGCGTTTATCATCTGGCGACGAAGACGAGGACGAGTCGCCGAGCATGCAACGTGATGCGAATGCCTTTGAGATTGCCTCCGAAATGTTAACCACAATCGAGTCAACAGCAGCGACCATCAAGGAGGAGCAGCTAGAGAACGACTACTATATGAAGTCAACGGATGATTCCAATAGCTGTCACGTCCAGGACTTTAAGCCTTTCGGCAGACCGCAACGCAACAGCAACCTCAGCAACCAAAACAACATCAGCAATGGCAACGGCCACGGCACGGGCAAACGATGGAAGCAAACCAAAGTGCCCATACGGATCACACAGGATCAGTTCAATGTGACGCTCTGGTCGTCGCTCAACTCGGAGGACGAGGACGAAGAAGAACTGGACCTGGATGACCAGCACACAGATCAGCAACTAGCACCGCAGCCAGCCGGCAGTACAACGAGCAGAACAAACGACATGTCAAAGCTGATCATTGATGAGCATATGATGCATCACGATGTGCTCAGCGACGGCATTGGCAACGAGTATGTCATATTGCCGGATCCGTTCAGTGCGGACGCCGTTACCGATGTCGAGGAGGTGGTGAATGCAATTATGGCCGATGGTGATGGCGCTGCCGATGAAGTTAAGGAGCACGAGGAGGAGGAGGAGGACAGCCAATCGCTTAGCGAGCAATATCAGCTGGATGAGGCATATGGCAGCATTGAGCTAATTGAGAATATGCCACAACCTGTTGGACTAATGCCGGCTGCGCCCGAAAACACGCCTGCCCATGCCACAACAGCAATCGCACCAGCAGCAGCAGCAACAAAAACGCTGCCCAAGCTGGTCCTGCAAAACAGCAGCACGAATGTGCGACTGAAAGCAAGCAACAACAATGTCAACAACAAGTCGAGCAAGCGTCAATTAACCACACAACCTCCGCCTCTGGTGCCGGCGACCAGCAACGGCGGCGCCCAGCCACAGCAACAGCAACAACAGCAAACGCATCAGCGTGGCAATCAGACGACAGCAGCCACAATGACAGCAATGCCGGCGGCGGAGGAGGACGAGGAGCCCAAGTTTCGGTGCACGCATCGCGGCTGCAACAAGGAATTCCGCAATCACTCCGCCATGCGCAAGCACATGCATACGCACGGTCCGCGCGGCCATGTGTGCAATGTCTGTGGCAAGAGTTTCGTAGAGAGCTCCAAGCTGAAGCGCCACCAGCTGGTGCACACCGGCGAGAAGCCGTTCGAGTGCACCTTCGAGGGCTGTGGCAAACGCTTCTCGCTGGATTTCAATTTGCGTACACATGTGCGCATACACACGGGAGATCGACCATATCATTGTCCCATCGATGGCTGCTCCAAGTGCTTCGCCCAGTCCACCAATCTCAAGTCGCACATGTTGACGCACACGAAGCCGAAGCGCAAGTGGCCGCGTGCTCCGCAAGTGAGCAGCAAATCGCCGCTGGTCGCGCGCTATGGACGCCTGGAGTTTGGCGAGGATCCGACGCTGGTGTACGTGGAGCCCAATGAGGAGCTGGCGTCGGTGTTGCTGGACAGCACGTCGACACCGTCCTAACAAGCGTTGCCGATGGCTGTTGTGATCTGAATCTGAAACGAGCGCATTGAAGAGAAGCATCTTCTGTCTGTACAGTTAGTCGTAAGAGCCTTAGTTATCTAAGCGGGCGTTGGCGCAGAAAGTGTCCAGGGTGGAGCACATGGTGCTGGCTGCCCTGTGCTCAACTGTTGCTGCTGCTCCTGGCTGCTGCTGCTGCTGCTGAGCCCACAACAAATTAGCTGCTAAGTTTTAATGGTAATGCGATTTATAGATTTGAAGTTGGATTGATTGGAATGCCCGGCACGATGGTCAACAAGTTGTAGAACTTAGTTTTTCTATACCTTAAGTATAAAGTATGTCAACGCCCACGACTCCACCTCCTCCTCCTCCAGTGTCCTCCACTCCTCCCTTCCCTTCCCCTTGGCGTGTACGCCTCCGCTTTTAGCGTTTTGATTCTAAACTTAATTGATAACTGCGCGCGGCCACTCGAATAACAAAAGGCAGCACAATTTTTTCTATTAAATCTTACAAATACAATTACTATTTAATACACACACATAAACATCTAATAACAATAGGCTATATATTTTTGTAATGAAATTGTAACAATTAGTGCATTGAAGTGCGAAAGTAAAGTATATATAAAAACAAAAAGAAAACAACAAAAAACCCAAACTTAGATAAAGAAAATTAATTGCGCCGGTTCGATTAGTTTTATCTCAGAAAAAAAAAGGAACATTGATTATAATGTTAAACACTTGATAGCTTTATTTGAACGTGCAAAACTAGATCTTAAATCTATATTAGCCTAATTAATTTGAAATGAGAGTTTCAGAAACAGGATGAAAAACCTCCCAAGTGGGTCTATCAAAGGGAAATCCCAGTCACATTTACAGACAGATAAACTAATGTGAGAGATAATAACAATCGTGAGTTTCTGAATTTAAACATTGTAAATCTAAAGCGGAATTATCTGAAAACTAATTAATATTTGCAAAAAAAACAATGGAAAATAAGCTAGTGATGAGGTCGTTCCGTGGTCATTATGTGACCTTGATGCCAGATGCCTGTTGCACGCCGGGCAAAATATTTCCCATCGGCGTATAGCCAAATAGATTTCCGGTCACCGACAGCAGTACGGAATAATTGAAATACCAGAACACGCAGAATAGGACCATAAAGATGACGTCTGTGGAATACACGCGATAAGGGCATATGCCAATAATTGACTCGAATTAGGCATGACGAATGACAGAATATCCGATTACAAACTTACGTATCGCTACACGCTCCCATTTTTCAACTACATAGAGTTCGGTCACCTGGAATGATGATAAAAGTTAATACACAAAAAGATGTACATATATGTATGTATGTATGTGTGTGCATACTATGTCCATAGTAGCATCATATTCGCTTTAGTTAAATATGAGTTTTTATTACTCACCATTAGGTAGCGAAACCACCAGTAATTGGCAAAATTGATAATATTGTTCAGCATGTTGAATATCAGTTAAGAACACTTCAGAATGGCAGCAACAATAGCGAACAACTGTAATTGCCTGGTAGGGCCTATTAATTTTTTAATCTTAATACTAAATGGCTTAGTGTTAACAACGTGCAAAGCGCAGCGGCTGCCTAACCAGTGCAGAAAAACACGACTGTAAACAGCCAAAACTGTCATCGTTATCGTTATCGAAAACAGCTGTTTTCCTAATTTCATATTGTTTTGTATTTTGAAATGATGTCGGAGCACGTCGTTAAAGTATTACATCGCACCCAACTGAGCCACAGCCAGACGGATGCGAAGCACTTTATCTATATATACAGCAAGTGGCTGGAGGATGTAACAGAGCTGCAGCTGTTGCTCACAACAAGCAACACCAGCTACCGAGCCACTCTGAAGCATGAAGAAATGAAAGGCGCCGCTGACGAATTGGAGCAAAGTTACGTCGAGTTCGTGGCGGAGTGTAAAGAGGCGCTGACCACGCAAATGGGTGTACCTGGCTTCGACTATGAACTGGATGAACAGCAAGCGCGCTTTAGGCTTGTCAAATGCACCGGCTTTGAGACGCTTTACGTGGACGTGCCGCTGCGCAAAGCATCCAACTGCTACCATTTGCTGGATGCAGCCATTGAAATTGCCCAACGACAGCCAACAGTAGATGCAGCAGGGAATGCTGGGCAAGTCGGTGCTGGCGCTAGCCAATCCAATGAATTTCTCATAGAGTACGAGCAGTATATTAAGGACAGCAAGCTGGCGGAGAAGAAATTGCTCAAGAAATTTGTGATGCTCATCAATAGCAAAAAGCAGCGTATCGAAGAGCTGGAGCGAAGACTGGAGGATCGAAGTCAAAATGCTGGACACGATACAGACACCGACATAGAGGAACAGCCGCCAGTGGTCAATCAGGACGGAGACGAGGACGAGGACGACGACTCTGATGTCTATGCTGGCGCCACACAAGTCCTGACGCAAAAAAACCGAATGCGGGAGTGATATTCAAATAAAATGCCATCCACAGAGCAAAGCGACTTTTCCATTTATATATTTAATTTCCAACATAAAACAAATTCCATCGAAATGCTCTTAAAAAATACGAAACTAAAATATGTACAAATATGTATGTTTGTGTGTATGAATGTATGTATATATGTGTGTATGAGTGTGTGTTTGTGTGTATGCATGTATGTACATATGTATGTTTGTGTGTGAGGCTCTCTTTTACCAAACAGAAATAAAGCTAACTTGCTGCTGCGCAGCAAAATTTGAAAATAACGACTTTTTAAATGGTGCTCTCCTCCTCGATTCTCAGAAACTCAAGTGAGCCCTGCAGGCTTTCATGCCTCAGTTGCAAGTGTTGTGTGTTTGTGTGCGTGTTAAAAAGTGCTGACAATCTGATAAACTGATTTGTGTGTGTGTGTGCGCGTATGTATGTACGTTTGTATGTATGTACGCATGTGTATATATGTATGGTCGCATTTGTGAATGTATGTATGTACGTATGTGTATATATATATATGTACGTATGTATATATATGTATGTACGTATGTGTATATATCTATGTACGTATGTGTATATATGTATGCAAATGCTTATCCGAATGTGTACATATATATGCGTGCACTTTTTATATGCGTACGTATGTGCGGATGCATTCTTTTATGTACGTTTATGCGTATGCATACTTGCAATTATGTATGTACGCACATGTGTATGCATGCCTGCCCCCTCCCCCTTTCTCTCATTGCAAACACATTTAATATTTTCCTTTCCAGTGATTTGTTTTTTGTTTTCTTTAATAAATTAACTTTTTAAGGTATACGTGTACATGTATAAATAAACAACAAATAGACTTTATAACATAATATACATTACAATTACAATCAATGTGTATGTGTGTGTGTGTGCATGTGTGTGTGTTATCTGCTTAGCTTAGAATTAGAGCAAATCAAGATTGCATTTTGGAATAAGTTACAATTGTCGTTGCAGTTGTTATTTTGGAATTTCTCGTGAACAGAATGATTAAGAAACGAAAGCCAATTAATGAAATAAACAAAAAAAAACAGAGTTAAAAGCATTTTACATAATTGTTATATATGTATGCTATTTATATGTGTATGCATATGAATATACGTTATGTATAAATATGTTAGGCGTGTGTAACATTTGACAGAGTAAACAATTGGCGCTGCGCAGATGCACTTCACACTCAAAGGGCAAGCAGATCCTCGTCAGCGCCGGGTTTCTTTGGTGTCTTTCGTAAGCTGTTGTCGGGTCCGGGTCCGGCTACGGATCCGGTTGCGGAGCCTGTCGTGGCACTTGCGGCGGAATTCGATGCATTGATCGTTGGAAGATTTTCAGCGGCAGCGGCCCGTTCCTCAAGGAATTTATCAAACTCGGAGCTGGTCAGTTCCTCAATGCCATCAATGTCTTTCTGCGTGGAGCAAAAGGAAAACAAATTAGTCCAAAATTCAATAGGGAAAAGCAAAGAATGTTACGAAAACCAAAAGCAATTCATGTTTAAATCGAACAACAACAAAAAGCTGATACGTGTGTGTGTGCGGGTGTGTGTGATTTGTTAATAGCTGTTGCTGCTTTGCTACTTACTGAGCTGCCCAGCCACGCCTCCATTTCGTCGATCTCATTCTCTTTCGTCGACTTTGTGTGGGCGCGTCATCAACAAAAGACAAAAGGCAGACGACAACAAACCCAAACCAAAAAGAACCAAATGGAATTTTGCATATAAAAACATAAAAACAAAAAACAGAATTGCAAATTTAGAAATCAATTAAAGATAAGAAAACCAAATATTAGAGCGCCATATTAGTCATAATAGGTTCTCAGGCAGCCGCATTACTCACTTTACTTACCACCGGCGGATCGCCGGCTGCACGTGGCGCTGGAGAAGCTGCTGCAGGAGCTGCTCCGGCTGCTGCCGGCTTTTGTGGCTTGTACGGCGAGGAGACGCTGCCAGCTGCTGCGTCCACAATGGGTATGTCGCGCAGCAAGTCGCTTTTGCTAGGTTCACAAAATATCAAAGTTCAAGATTAACATATAACATTCATTTATAGCAAGTGCTCACTGGTTGCCATCGGTGCGCGACTGCGCCAGCATATCGAACTCATCCGCAGCGCCTGCAGTGACTGCTGCTGCTCCGGCTGTGGCGCCGCCCAGTTGCAGCTGCCCAAAGCTCTGTGGCAGATGCTCCTCGCTGCTCTCAATCAGGTCGATTAGCAGCTGATCACTTTGTGGCGTATTGCTGACAGCCGTTGCGGCTGGCGGCACAGCTGCACCTACTGCTGCTGCCAGGCCTGCGCCTGCTGTCGTCACGCCCGGCACACCCATGGCAGCGCCCAGGACGGCAGATGGAGAGGTGACCGCTGCCGCGCCAACATTGACCTGTGCCCGACTCTTCTCGTAGCGCTGATGGCGCAAAAACAAATTGTTGAGTTCGTCGTTGATGCGCAGAAATTCAGCCGTCAGCTCATCGTCCTGAACGCGTCCAATTAGATCAACAATACGCGACTGCATCTCCTTGCAGGTGGCGGTCAGCTCGTTGAGCAGTGCATAGTCATCGGGACCCTCCTGGCCCGGCTTCATAACGCTCAGCATTTCCGCGAGTATGGACATATTGTTGCTCACAATTTCCAGTTCGGAGCGCAGCTTAGCCGCCTGTTCGGGCGTTAAATGCAGCGGTCCAGTTGCTGGCGTGGCAGCGACAGCTATTGCCGCATGCTGAGGCGATATGGTGTGCTGTGCGGCCATAAGCTGTGGATGCGGCAACGGATGCACCTCCGGCACACTCTGAAAGTGAAAATTGTACTTTAGCTAAGATTGGCGACATTTTGGTCATGTGCTGCGTTTACCCGCTGTGGCGTGTATATGGGCGCCATGGCATCCAGATCGGTGGGCGGGAACTCAATGCCCTTGTTCTTCAGCTCCATGTACATTTGGGTGACGCCATTGAGATCCGGTTGATTCTTGAATGCATCTGCCCAGATCTGTATGAGGCTGAGCACCTTCTCCTGCATTATGGCGGGCGGATCATTCTTGGGCCCGATCAGCTTGACCAGATCATTGATGAAGTCCTTCTGGGCAACCAGCACATGAAACGCCTTGCCGCAGTTCTTGACGCACGTCTCCAGCACAGTTAGAGTATACATAACCACCTGATTGTTCTTGCCCGCATTCTGTGATAGGCGTTTGCGTATGGCGCGCATCGCATCACGTGCCGTGTCCGAGGATTCGTTGATCATGTCACAGATCTCCATGTTGGCTGCCCAGTTTTCCGATGCCAAGCTCGCGTCGGTGGCGGCCTCTGCAAAAAAGGGAGTATGAATTATTATACTGTTTTTTTTTTTTCAGTCGAAAAACAATTTGTTCAAATATTTGATTTGCCTTTTAGCAGTCAGCTGCATGTTTGTTTATTTTTGCGTCGAGTCATCGCGTTTTGTTTACGCAAGGAAAATCAACAATAAAAATCATGCGGCAGCAATAAATTTCCAAGCAAAAGCAATATTCTTTTTAATTGCAAAATATATTTGAAAAACATATGCATATCGTAAGCTTATTATAAATTACTTGTAATTAGAATTTAATTTAAAAAGTGACATTTTGCCCGTGTAAACAAATCAACTTGCTTGCGTTGGCGACATGTAATGAGAGCGAGCGAGCGAGCGAGAGAGGGAGAGAGAGAGAGCGCTTGCGAGTGCAACGCACTCGCGCCCAATTAAAACGCATGGCAACAACAAACATGCTCACAATCGCATTCATAAAAATCAAAACAAAACAAAACAAGAAAGAGCAGAAGCAAAGTGGAGCGAAAAAGAAGGTGAAGCAGCGAATTAGTGAAGCAGTGCAAATTAGCCGTAGTACAGACACACACACACACACACACACTACGAAAATTGACCAGAAAACAGAAATGAATAAATTAACACATTTATGTAACGAACAACAAAAGTAACGGCGAATTTTGATGACTAATTGCGTATCAGCTTTGCAAGGAGTAAGCCGCTGCGTGTGCCAAATTATTGCTGTACAAATACTTGTTTGTTTCTATTCAGTTGCAATTGATGAGTAACAAATAATATATGTATGTTTGTACAGATACCCATTTATTTTTCCGTATGTGTCATATTCGTCAAATGTCGCCTCTTATTACACACACATACACATATGCACATGCACACCTTGTAGGTGAATGTTACTATGTGCCGCTGTAATCTTATCAGACAATTGGCAATGCCAATGGGAACCGTAATGAGAAATAGTGGCAGGGGGTGAACTGGCGTGATATCAGTTTTTTTTGCCATAGTAATCAGATAACAACAAATCTGGCTTTGTAGTGAGCGGTGCGGGCGGTATGTGTACTCTGTGTGTGTGTGTGTGTGATTGTGTCTGTGACATACAATCAAAAAAAAAAAACGACAAACGCCCAAAAGAAAGTTGGGCAAATGCAAATGCGCAAAAATATGTTTATTAATACATGCACACAAACATATGCCCATTTGAAAAGTGATACAATTTAATAAATGTATATTATACCCACACACGCATACCCCGCAGTGCGACAGTGCGAAACACTGTGTGTCGGCTGTTTTGCCCTTTACTCACCGATGCGCTGTCCAATGGGTGTCGAGAAAACATTGCCCAGAGCGCCCACATTGAAGAATGAAGCCATTTTGGTGCACTGACTTTTGTTTTATACGCGTTTGTTTTATTTATTTTTGTATCCACAAATAACGAGCGCAAATATTTATGCGTTTACATCTGCTGCACTTGTGTTGCAGAGTGACCGCAACCATTAAGGGTAAAAATACCAAAGCATTTAGGTAGGCAGCAGCTAACTTAATGCGAGTGGAAAACTGCGTGCAGCCAGCTTCAAGTAGCACATTTCACGCAGCCAACTTCATGCGGAGCTGCCAACTGATGTGGCAAGTGGGCAGTTTCGGGCAGCGAACAGAGATGCGAAAGAGAATCGACAGTCGGAAGAAACACGAGGGAAGGAATTGTCATTATTTTTCGAAAATCAAATATACGCTCGCAAAATATGCAAACGCGAATGATAATAACGTAATGTGCAGTCTTCAAATACACGACGACGGCCGTTTTCGTGTTTCCAAGCTGGCAAAGTACTCATTATATCAAATTGCTGGGCATATAGCATAAAGCGAAAAAAGCGTGTGCAATTGCCTTAGTGTGCGTGCGTCGGTTTGGTCGGTTGGTGTGTTGGCCGAAAGCAGTGAAACGAAAACTGAAGAAAAAAAGAACAAAATCCCGTAGCAAATTGTCGCGCGGGCAACGTACGCAAAGGCGCTATTGAAGGACGAAGAGCGGTCGCTGTACGGACGGCGGAGGCGGCGGCGGCTGCGGCAATCATAAGAAAAACGCGTGTAGTCGACCGGGCGGAGGATATTGAAGATTGCGCAAATGTACAACAGCTAGCTGTGAAGCGTTTGCGCGTGTATGTGTGTATGTGTGCTGTGTGTCTGTGCGTGTCTGCGTCCGAGTCCGCGCAACACGCCCGCCTACGCCACAAAACGGCAGCAGCCAACGGCAGCAGCAAACGAATCGAATGCTTTCATTTCCTTTTCGCGCTACCGCCTCTCTCCCCATCGCCCCCCGCTGCTGCAACTGATTTCATTTAACGCGCTATCGCCTCACCCGCAACCGCAACCTCGCCCAACTTGACGTCGCCCCATTATCAGTTTTGAGTGTATTGTCAAAGTGTGCGCTGCGTAAAATCCTTCAAAATTCCACCACAAACGCCCACCAGTGCGAGCGCCATGCCCGTCTCGTTGGCTGTGTGCGAAACAGCAAATGTCGTGAACGCTGCGCTGCGCGAATCGCTTGGCAGCGGCATCGGCGGCGGCGGCGGCTGCGTTGCGGCCGCAGCTGGCCGATCTAGTGCCGGGTCCAGTTCTGGCTCTGCTGCTGGCGTTGATGAGGCCAAAATCGGCGATATCTCCGGCACGGACAACCTGCAGAGTCAAATTGTGGCAAATGCCAAGCGTGTCTTGCTGGCCAAAATCGAGTACGAGGAGGTAGAGAATTACCATGAGTCGGTGTTGGCCAAGCTTAAGTCGAAATACATTGTCATTAAGCCGGACAACAATGGAGCTGCCAACTGCAATTACAAAACAAATGGCAACGCCGCTGGCAAGGCTGTGGGCTCCAATGGACATGGTGAGTGTGTTGTTATTTTTCCCTCTTTTTTTTTTGTGCCAACATTTGCCCAAGCGTCTACTTTGTACGTATGTATGTGTGTGCGTGTGTATGTGTATTAAAATTACATAAAGATGTATGTGCTGCTGTTTATATTTGTGTTTCATGTTTATTTTGCCATATTCGGTGCAAAATCACGTGTGGACCAGCCAACATATTTGTCCGCCTTCAACATTTATGAGCAGCGACGTCGACGTCTCAGCAGCTGCGTCTAGGCCTGTGTATGTGTGTGCGCTGGGCTGGTGTACGTGGTTGTCGCATATAAACAGAATGCAAAGAATAGGCATAGCAAGCAAAACAAGTATATGATCGCAAAGAGTAAGTTGGACAGGCAGCGACGGCGGCGGCGGCAGCGGCAGCGAGCTCACTACAAAGTTTTACTACTGTCTACTTCTGAATCACACGGCACACAGCAGAGACAGAAAAAACGTGCCGATGTCGCGGCAAACATTTTACACGCGGTTGCACGGTCTCGCTCTCTCGCACACACATAGATAGACAACTCCTCATGCTCTTCTGCTCGCACCCATCGTGTGCGCCTAAGTTGGCGCTGAAAATTGTGTTTGGTAACCGCCGCATTGCGCGACGGCTCAATTGTTTTCTTTTTTCAATTACTCGATTTTAAGCGAATGTTGCGCCGCAGATTGCTGCTTGTTGTGAATGGGCATATAAAAAAGAGCGCTAACGAATGTGTCTGATTCATGCACACACATACACATACACGTGTGTGTATGTGTTGCGAGACATTTTCCTTTGCTTGTGCACAAAGCAGGAAGTAAAACAAAGGCGCGAGACAATGCAGAGAAATGGTCAAAGACTTCTCCGGTCAGGCCATGTTGTTTTGCCAGCAGCAACAACATTGTGCAGACGCCTACAACAACAGTCACTGTTAGACCGCGCCAAAGTTGTGCCATTTGCACAGCGAGCAGTCAAAAATTCAGTTGGCAACACTCAAACTAACCGTAATACTTGCGATTTGCATGCGCAAAAACGAGACGACAATAGACGGCGGCGCTTTGTATGGTGGTCACACTTTTTTTCCATTTCTTTTTGTAAAGGCAACGAGTGCGGCAACGAAACGCTCGCTGTTATCAACACAATACAAACGCACAAAGGCACAGGTGACCACATATATATATACATGCATTAGCATATATATATGTGTGTGTGTACGCTTGTGTGAATGTGGCGCTCGCTGCCTCTGGCAGCAGTTTCTGTCCGTCATATTCGGTTTAATTTTAGTATTCAAGCCAATTCTTTTGCCACAACTGCGATTCGTCCAATGTGTAACAATGCCTGTGTTAATTGCGGACAGCAGCTACGCACTCTGGCTGCTCTATAAATTGGTGCTGGTGCCCTGCCTGGTGCTACTGGTGCGCCTCTTTCGACATGTGCTAATGCCCAGGCGCAAATTTGCTGTTTCATTCGCAGACAATAATACTGTAAACGGCGGCACTGTGAATGGCAATCGTAAACAGACCGTGGACAGTGGACAGTCCAACCAGAATTCCAGTGCGAATCCAAATGAGCTGCCCAAGCCGAAGCGTGTGCTCTATCCGCGCGAGAACATACGCATCGGCTGGAAGCAGTCGGAGCGCAAATGGCAGGTGGGCGCTGGAATGCTGAATGTGGGCAACACTTGTTACCTCAACTCGACGCTGCAGGCGCTCTTTCATATACCCGCGCTGGCCAATTGGCTTGTCTCGGAGACGTCGCATCTGGAGAACTGCAACATTAGCGAGTCCTGCGGCAGCGGTGGCTGCATCATCTGTGCAATGGCCAAAACGCTGCAGACAACGCAATCCAATCAATCGGCGGTCCGGCCATTTCTTATCTACACGAAGCTCAGGCAAATCTGCAAGCACATGGTTGTCGGTCGACAGGAGGATGCGCATGAGTTCCTGCGCTTTCTGGTCGAGGCCATGGAGAAGGCGTATCTGATGCGTTTTCGCAATTTCAAAGAGCTCGATCAGCTGGTGAAGGAGACGACGCCCATAAGTCAAATCTTTGGCGGCTATCTGCGCAGCGAGGTGCGCTGCCTCAGCTGCAATCATGTCTCGATTACGTTTCAACATTTCCAAGATCTGTTGCTGGACATACGCAAGGCGGACACCCTGGAGGAAGCCTTCGATGGTTACTTTTCACGCGAGCGGCTCGAGGACATGGGCTACAAGTGCGAGGGCTGCAAGAAAAAGGTGAGACCTTGGACCTTAAGAATGGCAGATTCTTTGAGAATGTATATTTGATTTTGTATTAATAAAACCTGGTTGTTTGTAGGTCTCCGCTACTAAACAGTTTAGTTTGGAGCGTGCTCCAATCACGCTCTGCATCCAGTTGAAGCGCTTCTCGATGATGGGCAACAAGCTGACCAAACAGATTAGCTTCAAGCCACGCATTGACCTCAGCCGATTCGCAGCACGCAGCCCCACGGCTGCTGCACAGCCTTTAAGCTATCGCCTTGTCTCGATGGTCACACATCTGGGCGTGTCGCAGCATTGCGGCCATTACACGGCCATTGGCCTGACGGAGGCGGGCAGCTACTACAACTTCGATGACAGCTATGTGAGGCCCATTGCCATGCAGAGCGTCTGCAATACGAATGCCTATATAATGTTTTACGAGCTGGATGTGGCCAGCAGCATCAACAACAACAGCAGCAGCAGCAACAGTGTTGCGCCCAAGCTGAACGGACTGCGTTTGAGCAATGGAGCGCATAGCCCTGCGGCAGCTACTGTGGCTGTGGCAGCCACTGCGACGTCCACATCCGCCTCTGCTATGTCTCCGCGCTTCATTGGGCCACAGCTGCCGAATGGTTATGCCAACAGCAATGGACATACACTTGGTGGCGGAAAGACAACCATCCATTTTAAAACGACGCCACAGAAGCAGCTGCAACAGCAGCAGCAGCAAAACGGACTCCTTATGGGAGCCAATAAATTTCAGGAGTCTTCGCAATCGAAGCATTCTCTGGCTGGGGCATTGCATAAGGGAGAAGCTGCTCCAAATGCAAATGCAAATGCAAATGCTAACAAAAGTTCCTGCAACAACAATATAACCAGCCAGCACCAGCAACAACATATTCTGCCAATATCATCCGACGAGGAAGAGGACGAGGATGACAGTGATGAGGACGACGATGATGATGATGTTAAAGCCAATACAGCGCCGCAGCTGCCCAGCATGCCGAAAATGTTTGAGGATAGCGAGAGCGTTGCCCAAACTGCCAAGTTGAAGCCAAAGACGCCACTCAAGAGCCTGGTGCCGTATGAGTCCGCCTCCGAGGAGGAGCAGGAACAGCAACAGCAACAACAGCAGCTGCTGCAAACGTCACAGCAACTGGCAGCGAATCCGCGCAAGCGACGCAGCGGCGCCGATTCCAGTGAATCAGAGGAGGAGGCACCGCCTCCGCTGCCGTCAATACTGCGCAATGGACACGCCAAGACCAATGGCAATGTGTCCAACACGAGCAACAGCAGCCACAGCAAAGCCAAGTCCGCCTCAAATGCCTCGTCGGCCAATGTTAACAGCAGCAAACAAAAGACTGATGCCATAGACGAGATATTCAAAAGTCTAAACAACTACAAAAACAAACATAGAATCGCAGCAGATGATGATGAGGATGGGGATGAAGATGGGCATGGGAATGAGCTGGTGCAAACGGAGCAGGGCACAAAGAAGCTAAACAACGCATCTTCCTCCACGGTCAGCAAGAGCAACGGCTGGCAGTCACAAAACGGCAAAGCGCCGTCATCTCCAAAGACGCCGCCCTCGCCAGCGGTCATTAAATCCAAGACTGGCATTTGGCAGATTACGCGCACCAACGATGACGACGATGAGGATGACGAGGAGGAGGAGGATGATGTGGAAGCCGATGCTGATCAGGAAGATGACGATGATGAAGTGGTTGTTGTAGAAGAGCCACAAGTCAGTGTCACGCCCAAAAATCCCAAGAATCCATTTGCCGCCAGCAAAGCAGCCGAAGCGAATGCAACAATTGCCGGAGCTAAGCGACAGAAGCTGCTCAACGGCAGCGCCAAGTCGCCGGCGACACCACGGCCCGGCAATGGCTATCAGAGTGAGTCCGTGGCCAACAGCAGCGCCGTTAGTGAGCTGCTGAAGCAGAACCATCGTGGCTATGGCACCTCTGTGCTCAGCTGGAACGGCAAGCCATCGGAGCTGGACAAGGAGGTGAGTGCTTGACCAGAGATTCTTCCACGCTGCCTAAAAGTAATGCACCTAGTAGTTGGTAGTTTGGCTTTTGTGGGCTCAAAATGAGGCGTTCTCACTGCTTTCGAGTAACAGTAACAATATTCAAGTGCAGTGGGAAAGCTGTAATTTTGCAACATTAAATACTCGCACCTCTAAGAACTATCGATATCCGCATTGAAGCGCAGTGAAAACATCGCATTTTTGTACAAACTCTGCTTTCTTGTGGTTTTCTGGCTTATTTATATCTCTATAAGTATTCATTGCATGGTGGTTGTTTTTTTTTTTTTTTTGTTTCGAAAATTGTTTTGTAATTTTTGCATTTGTTTCCGCCATTTTACCCCCATTCATATAGAGTTTTGATTTGGTTTGTGCGAAACGGATAGCTGGTCACGGCGATACGGATGGGCATAGCGACGTCAACAGTAGCAGTAACAATAGCAGTAACATTAACAGTAACATGAACAATGACAGTAACAGCAACAGCAACAGCAATGGCAAACGCAAGAACTCGACGGCGCCAACCGATCTATTGTTTTAGCCGCTGTTGCAAGTATATTTGCAAATCTCAATTTTCTCCCAATTTGCCTCGAACTGTGATTGTGTTGAAGTCTCCATGCGGCGTGTGGATACTTCAATACGCCCAATACTCCCTCAACCAAAAAATCGTTTCAAGAAAGCCGTCGAAATCCTAGTGCCCAATAGGTAAAAACTGCTGTTGTAGTACTGTGTATCCCAATCAATGAAGCTTATGATTTGACTCATCATAATTTCAACCGTGCCCGTTACCGTTACCGCCAAATGAACCGTTAGAGACTAGAGCTGGAAAACTATTTGGTGTTTACAAAGACTATCGCGTTATCGATAGTTACTGTTATTTTTGATATGTGCTATCGATAGCTTGAGAGTTTGGTTTTCCAGCTCTGATTATAAATCGCATGCAATTTGTGCTCGTTTTCTCATCTGCATAAGCTTCATTACCAACCACCCAGTCCAAGAGCCAAGCAGATTTACGCGCCTACTTGAATTATACTAATGTGCTCATCTTTGCCCACAGTTGCTGGCCGAGGCTCGAGAGCAGCGCAAGCGGGATGCGGAGGATGACGAGGAGAACGAAATGGATCGTGGACGTCAGCGCAAGATCAAATCGGCGTCTGTTAAATGTAATAACAGCACGCCCGGCTACAATCCATTCCAGGAGTTCGAGAATCAGAAGCGCTGGCACAGCAACAAGTCCGGCACCTTTCCCCGCTTCTATCATCAGAATAATCGCCCCAATTTTCAGCAGCGCAACAAATTCAAATACAATCGATTTGGCGGCGGTGCCAAGTTCCAACAGCAGCGTGCCTTGCAGCGCCATCTGGCGGCCGGCGGTGGTTTTACGCGTCGTCAACAGCAGTCGACGGGCCAACAGCAGCAGCAACAACAACAGCAACAACAACAATCCTAACTGGATGTCGTCGCGGCCTGCTCCTCGATCAGGGAACTTGTTGCATTTGTTGTTGTGGTCGTCGTTGTTGGCTGGCAACGGCTGGCAAACGGGTTCGCTTGGATTTTACACGAGTTTTGTAAACATTTTTTAAGTGCTGATGCATATATTAGGACTAGGACATATAAGCTATAAGCTAGAGCAACCTTATACCCAACACCCTCCCCCCCACACATACACAGAAACAAACATTTTAAGTTTAAGTTATAAGCGTGTTTGGCATTTTATTTATTGTGTTTATTTTTTAATGAGAATTTTTGAATTCGCATTATGTAACCCCAAACGGACGGTAAACATTTTCAAAAAGTGTTGCTACCCAAAAAAAAAAAAAAAAACAAAAAGAAAAAAAAGTATGAAAACATGCCTAAAAACCAAACTAAACGAAAAGAAAGAAACACGTAACAAATAGATGCAAACCTTATAAGAACTACAAATAAAGTAACAGAAACAATATTTTTAAGAAACTAACAACAAACAAAATCTGTACATATTATATATTTAACTATGAGAGTGTAGATTAAAAGTCGGTCTAAGTTAAGTTGGCGTACGAAACGGATATTTCATTTGAGCGCCAGTTTTATTATTTATAGCATTAGCGGCAATAACCGATTGCTAGTGTTAATATAACCCAAAAAAAAAAAACAAACAAAAACAAAAACAAATAAAACATGTTGGAATATGATACAAAAACAACAAACAAAAAATATACATAGAATATATATATGGCATATAAGCATTAGTTGAATATGTGCAAGAAAAAAAGAAAAAACGGCCGGCGCCGGCGTATTAGCGAAATTATATTATACAGTTTATTTCGATCAAATTAGTGTAATAGTGAATAAACCGTAAAACCACAAAGAATAAGAATACATTTATATATATACTATATTTAGATGTATATGCTAAATTAGTTAGTCGACCTTTTGGCAAACGCTAATCGCCGCCGCCGCCTCCTCCGCCGCGCTTGCGACGCATCTCCTTCTTGTTCATCAGGCGACCCTTGCGATAGCGCGTCTGGGCAGCCGGCGGCTTGCCATGCTTCAGCTGCTTGCGCTGATGCTTGGGCACGCTCCGGATGGTATTGTTGCGGTCACGTTTCGCCCGCTGCAGGTTGGCTTTTTTGTCCATGCGTTCCTTCTGTTTGAACAGTTTGCTCTTTTTGATTTTCTTCAGCGTTTTCGTCTTCATCAGTCTGTCCAGATCCTTTTTGCTCTTGATTTGTGCAGCATCAGCAGCTTTAGTTCCGGCCGCCTCCTTGCTGTCTTCCTCATCCTCTGCGGGCGCCTTACGTTTGCGTTTGGCATTCACATCGAAGTCCATGCCAGGTATTAGATTGGTTTCTTGCTCGTCATCCTCGCTCTCCTGCGGCGGCGCCGCTTCGTCCTCGCTGCCGTCGGCTATGTTGGCACCAAGCATATTGCGTTGCGCTGCCAAATCGTTCGTGGACAGCTCCACGATCTTGACTTGGACTTCATCATCTTCGTAGGCGGCTTGCTGGACGCCTTCAATCTTATCCTCGTCGGTGAGTTCGCGCAGTGGTTCGAAGGACTTCTTCAGATGCTTAAAGCCATCTTTTACCTCCTGCCGAATGCGTTTGTGCTCCTCCTTGAGATTGCGCTCCAATTCCGTCTTGGCCCGTGTGCGGCGCTCGTTCTTTCGCTTTCGAAAGCCAGTTAAAAAGTCTCTGTTGGGATTGCACTCATATATAAAGCCGGTTTTGTCTTACATATTTAGCTACTTACTTGCGCTTTTGGGGATCAAAAACAATCTCCACTTTCTTCTTTGTACGAGTCATTTTAACTTGAAATTAGCTCGTTGTTTACGTTTTGCCAAGCCACATGTTGGTTACAGAACGCAATGTTCAGCTCCTGTTAACGCTATGTTAGATGCCTGTAAACGAAATTTTGACGCACGCTGAACCTGTGCACAGACCATTATATGCCGTATATGTTAAGGCAATGTTAATGCACTGTAAGCGAATTGGGAAAGTTTAAAACATATTAAAAAACTTTTTCATTTGTGGTCTATATTCAATGTACGAACATGATAGTTCGTTCTCGTTTAATATTTATTGCAATTGAATTGGAAAATGTTATGATAGATTTCTTTAAATTTTGCGGCTTTTACAAATCGCATTTCGTATATATATCACATGCTTATATGTATTATCTTTTACAATTCGGATTACTTTATAAAAACAAAGTTCTTTTAACAACAAGTTCTTCTAAAGAAGCGTTAACATTACACAATCGTTGGGCCTAATAACTAGGGATATTCATGACTTATAACGATATATATTCTTGCCATATGTATGGGTTTCTTTTTGTAACTGATATATGTATAGGCTTCATATCCATAAATTCATTCCGTTGCAATATCTCTGGAGTTCACTCCTCATCGCTGTCTAATGTAAATAATCTAATACGCCGAAACGATGACGTCTCCAATACTTTTGGCGTGGAAGCATTGGCACGCGAGCAGCTCGTGTCCTTGGCCAATAAATTACTGTTCTCCGCTTGGGATTTACGCGCCGAACTGGAACTAAAGGAATTGCGTTACAGTAAGTTATCCATGAGAGATTTGAACTAGTTACCCTCTTTGACGATTGGACTTATTGTGATTATGATTCAGGGGCGTCGAATTGACCAAATTCTCTCGTCCACAGGCTGTTGGTGTGCCCTGCTGTGACAACTCCAGTGTATCCATGGCTAACAGAAAATCGGATACATAACAATCTCGATTCCCTATAGGCGTTGAGCCCACCAGTTGAAACTCTACACGAGGCACACCAGGAACGGTTGCTGATGGCGATGCCGGCGCTGCTGCTACCGCATTTCCATTGCCATACGTAGCGGACTTCGGTGCCGTCAGCGGCTTGTACAAGTGCAAGACTTCCAATATGTAGAAGAGGCAACGGTACGCAGTAGTCTTCAGATTGCACATTTTTATCCACAGCGCACGTCGCGAGCGGCGAAAGCACTTCGACTAGAAGAATACAATGAATAAGCGATTGGAATATTGCTTTCCAGGAATAGCCTCCTACCAGCAGCTTTAATGTGACCATTGATTTCTCCTCCTTTTGCATTCTCTGGAGCCGAGGATGCGATAGCAGCTGATCCGTAGTCGGCCGCAGTCGCGGCTCGGGCGACATCATACATTTGATGACCTGCTGCAGTTCCACGGAGATTGCTGCAAGCACAAAAAGAGACCATTAAAATTGTTGTTGGATTGATTGTTGTTGACTCTGATTGCTCACTGTTGATGAACTCCTCGGGCAGTTTGCCCTGGCGCAGCTCATGCCAGAGCGGTCCATTCGAGGGCAAGTCCATGTAGCAGGCCAGCTCCAGCATTGCGATGCCCAGGCTAAATATGTCGGCGGCCTTGGAGAATTGGCCTTGCAGTATTTCGGGCGCCATGTAACGGGAGTCGCCCTCTGTTGCCTGATGGTTGTTCGCTTTGTCCACATCGATGACCAGCCCAAAGTCCGCCAGTTTGCAGGTGTCGTCGTCGTCGATGAGCACGTTATCCAGCTTAATGTCCAAGTGTATGAGATTGCGATCGTGCAGCGACTTTAGGCCACGCAATAAATCCAGCAAAATGTGCCAGATGCGCTCCTCTGGAATGTGTCGGCAACGGTACAAATACTGCTCTAGGCTTTCGCGGCACAGCTCCATTTGCATAAACAGCCGATCGTACTGCTCCCAGGCACGTATGAACCGAATGCAATTCTCATGGCCGGAGAACTCCTCGTAGCGACGCACCTCCTCCAGCCGCTCAGCCCGATACTGTTCGCCACGAAACAATTGCTTGGAGATTTTGACCGCATACAGCCGGCTGTCGGAACGATCTCGCACCTGGAATACTTCACCAAAGGAGCCCTCGCCCAGCTTTGCCAAACGCTCGAAACACTCCTCGAAATGGCTTTTATTGCAGGACATGGACGACTGTGAGGCTGCGGCAGCATTTGGTGAGACCGGCAATGTGCCGGCATCGGAGCACTCGGATCCGCCGCGAAATGAGATCGCGTGCGCAATTTGTGAGTTGTTGGCGCTGCAGGATCCCGACGACTGGCTGCGATTCAAATTGTTGTTCTCGACGGCAATGTAACGCGTTTTGTATTTGGGCGGTCGAAATCGGTTGCTGTCAAAATGCCCATTGAACTGAGACAACAAAGAGATTGTTAGATGAAGATGCTGGAATCGTCGTATGGCCACCAAGGAGCACTGTGAATCTGTGGCTGTTGCTGGTTACTCACCTGTTTGTGCCGGTGCTTATCATCGCTCATCTCTGGCAGCGGCAAACGATGCTTGTCCATGTTGTTTCTCTGTTTTATTGAATTGTTTTCCTTATGTTCTAGTTGAACTATTCGGGAACTGGGTTGTGAACAAGTTCGTTTGCACGAGGAGCTCAAGTTCAGTTTATACGTGTCAAAATATTTGTGTAACGAAGAAGTGCATTGCAAAATATACTAAAGGACTTTATTTTCCTACAAAAAGGCTAGTGAACGAAACGGCTAGTAGGATAAATTAATATCTATGAAGCGTATAAATAGCGCCCTAAGCTGTTTGTTTATTTATCAAGCATCTTTTTATCAGGAATAGCGAATTGAACCAAATTGGCGTTGCCATATGATTTTGTTGACATTTCGATAGTTAATGGCGGTAGGTCGATTGGCGGCAGATGTGTTTCGATTTCGCCGATGGTATATAATATCGTATCGCTTAGCCCGTAAAAACAACGCGTAGTTATAGTCTTCAAAACAAATGCAGCAACATGCTCGGCAGAAGTATTGATAGGTAAATATTCGAGACCTATACGAACACAGGTAAAAGGAGCAAAGAGCGCTTCCACAATATGGTTGTAAACGCAATAAAGTTATGCAATTTGTGATGCGGTTTCGTTTTGTGTATAAGTATGTAATTGTGTTGCATACATATGTATGCACAAATGCGCACGAGTGTGACCGCATGCAAGAAGAAAAAAAATACCAGTTGAATACAATCGAATGTCCGTTACCATTTTACAATTTGAATATTGTTTGAACTTGAAAGAAGTGATTAAGATATGGACAATAAATATATAAATGTTTGTTTGAATATGTGTTTATACAGCTCAGGCAAGCAGCCAACATTTCATGTGATACGTGAAGTCTACGACAGTTCAAATGCGCACGAACGCTTTGAAGCGGAGCTGGACAAAGCGCTTGAGGCCAAGGTAGACTTCATTATCATTGAGCCGCCGCGTTTGGGCGATGAAACCGGTAAGTTGATAATAGGTTATCTCCCGACTCCTTAAATAATGGTAATGTCTCTTCTAGGTCGCTGGATATGGGTGGGCAATTGCCTGCACAAAACGGCAGTGGCCACCGGAGTTGCGTCCCTTATATCCAGTTTGTTGTGGTACGACCGTCCTGTGATTGCGGCTCCCGTTTGTGCCATGTCACTATTCTGTACTGGCTTGTACACAGTGTCATGGAACTACGATCCTTGCTGCCAGTATCAGGTATGTGGTTTGATGTTCTATTGCTTTGAATGGATATTACTTGGATTCTATTGTGTATATTGTGCAGGTGGAGGAGAACAATGAAGTCGCATTAAACAAGCTGCCACTAACCGATGTATCCTCGCCTGTAATCCTGGGCTATGCGCCCAATACTCAAACCAAATACTTGCATCGCGGCATCACATTCTTATCGGCAGCGTTGTGTGCCTGGCAGATTTGGCGATCCTACAAGTAGACGACGACACGATCTGGGATCAGATAATCGGCCAGCCAGCCAGCCATTGGCTGCAGTCTGCAGCAATACGGCGCGTTATCTTGAACTTGACTCAAGTATTTGGTTAATAAGTTTAGTTAAACGCCATTGCGTATGCATTTCTTTTAGAATTTCAAACGTTTCGTTTTTCCTAGTTAAATTTTAAAGTGGTTCAAAGTCCGAAATGTCTATGAATGTTTCCATAGCTGTTTGTTTTTGGCAGCTATTAACTTGCGCCTGCATTATTTTGAATGAAATATTTATGTTTTAGTATTTAATGGCCAAGAAGTCTTTTTATTAGTTATTGTTCAAGAGATAGATGCACTGTACAAATAATTAAGCAAAATTACTTTGTGTGTGTGTGTATAAATAATAATAATAGTGATTGTTATTAGTATAGAAATAAAAGGCAGTGCAAAGAAGTAAATAAAGTCGAAACCAATATGTTATTTAAATACACAATACAAAAAAAAAAAAAATTGTGCCGCGCTTGCTGTGAATAACGAAAGCATATGTAATCTAACAAACACACACAAAGAGTGTGTGTGTGTGTGTGTACACACACACACTTATGTATATGCAAAACAGCTGTAATGAGACGTCATGCGGGCTGCGGCTGCAGTCTGTGAGCTCAGTAGGCTTGGCGAAGCCATCGCAGCGGCTTTGTGCAATCCCGACCGCGATCAACCGACGAATTCCAGTGCGAACCAGCGCAAGTAAAGGCTGCGGCGGATGCTGCCCCGGCAGTTGTAGTTGTTGTTATTGTGTGCAGTGGAGTGGAGTGGAGTGCGGGATTACGCTTGAAAAGATGGAGATCACAGCGAATGTGGGTAGGTGATGGCCAAATGTAAACAGCCTTAAGTGGCTGCTGTGCCGCTTTGATAAGCTAGCCCGCCAAGTAGGAAGATCCGTACAGTTGACTCTGCAGCAGCTAATTGTGCCGCTTATCGTGCCACTTTTTATCACAAGTATTTGTTGCTTGTTAAATATTTTGCAATCGTGCAGTGCATGCGTCTGTGGGCGGCGACCTCAATACCAGCTGCATATCCACATCCTCGCGTGCCAGCAGCTACCTCAGCCTCGAGACTAGCGTGGAGCCCAACGAGCATACTCCGCTGCTGGCCGCCAGCGGCACCCCAACCCCCGATTCAGCCCGGACTAGTGCGACGACAGCTGTTGGCACAGCGATCTACACAAAAGAGTGCTTTAATTGGCGCATCATTGGACTGCTCTCGATGTTCATCAGCGCCATGGTGCTGGCCACATATTTGCTCTGGCGACAAAGTAAGTAATCCCACTGGAAGTGGGGCTGTGCATGGTCCCATTATGTGCGTTAGATCCGTTGATTCAATTTGTTTTGTGTCCGTAAATAAACATGAGTATTTATATGCTAATGTCTAGAATTGGCTGCGGTTTCCATGTAAATGAGTTTATGATGTGGTCAGCTTTAATTATTACGTCATAAAACATAATTATTATTAGCTTTAAAGGGTGTTTGAGGCTTGCCATTTATAGATTGTTGATATTTTGTATATGAGGCGTGAGGTTTCTTGTACCAGGGCTGCAAGCACAAAGTTGAGGGTTCGGCTCACGGTTCACGGTTCGAAACCAATTCCAATTGACTTTGTTCGAATTGTCGAATATTTTTATAATTTTAAGGAAACAATTCAATTTTTGATTTAAAATTGCCCGTTTCTACTGAAAATATTGCCGCACGTATATATTTTCAAATAGAAGCTGCGGGCTACATATTAGATTAATTCAATTTGTGTAGCCCTAGTTATTTATGCTTTAGAGTTAATCCTCCCTGTCAAGTGTTTTTCTAATTGGAATTAAATGGGAATTGCGGGCTCGAACTGGTTCGGTTCAACTCCAGCTTGCAGCTTTGGCGGTTTTTTTTTATCGTAACAAGTGGAAATATTATTTAGATATGTTTAACAAATGTTGTTAGTGCAAAGCAAAATTGCTTTTGAATAGCTTTTATACTCATATGTATCCTGGGATAATATCGCTACATTGGATTACTGAAGAACTGCTTTAAAAAGTATCTTTAGTGCAAATCCTAGCCTGTCTTTTCATTTGGCTTTTCCCGCCGCAAACGACATGCCAGCCGACTGGCTCTTCGCTCTGTTCTTTTTGGCATTAGTTTCCAGTCTAAGAATCACCCAGCAAAACTTTCATCTACCTACAGCATCAGCTCCGCCGGACAATGGCTACAAGCTGCATCTCGTCCGACATGATATATGGAGTGGGGCCCATTTGCATGGTCAGGCGCTGCTGGAGGCGGGCAAAGTCGTAAACGTTTTCATCACACACACGGCCAGCGAGGAGTGCAGCGAGAACTGTGCGAATCTGCTGCATAGCTTGCAGGTGAGTCACACAGCCACAAAGCATCAGATATAATTATCCAATAAATTCTGCGCAGCGCAAACGTTTGGGGGAGCTTCCGTTTAACTTTCTCATGGCTGGCGACTGTGAGACATACGAGGCGCGCGGCTGGCAGTACGCGAGCAGCTTCGAGTCGCTGCCCCAGGCCAGCTCCTTGGTATTGGCCTTTGTCGGGGACTTTAGCCAATGGCTGCCGAGTCTGTGCCAGCTGCAGATGGCCAAAGCGCTGCTCTGGGAGTCGCAGAGGCGCCTCAAGTTGCAGCCGAGCTATCAGCTGTATGCGCTGCGCAATGTGAGTCGCAGTGAACGGGATGCGGATGCACTGCTGCGTCAGCTGCAGCTCTGGCCGCTCTATGCCGGCCAGCGGCTAGTGAAGTAAAACTGAAGCTTCCAAGTTGTTCCTCTCGTTTTTTATTGTACTCCACAAAACAAATAGTTTACAAAAGAAGCGCAGGATTAATAAAGCGGGGTGCCACCGAAAAGCGAAGCGAGTGCCCGCTCCCAGCCCAGCGGAACAGTTGCTGCCAGCCGGGTAGATGAGCCAACAAAGCGTAGCGCTGCGTGTGCCATTACAAATTAAGGATAATGCCTAATGCTAAAGCTTAAATGTCTACAATGGACGCTGTGCATCGAATGCATCCTAGTCGAACTCCAGTTTCCGAAAACTGCCCTCGATGGACTCGATCTGTGAGACGAAATTGGTGCCCGTGCCGTTCTTCTCGGAATTGTAGCTACTGCGCCGCTGTATGCCCCGATCTGAGAGCAGCATGCTCTGATCCAGTGCCAGGACCAGATCCCGCTTGCCGGCCAGCTCCTGTTTCCAGAGCTCAATCATCTCACGCATGGGCATGATGCCGCCCATCTCTTGAGGCAGACAGTCGGCATCGACGGCCTTCATCAGCTCCTTCTCGCTGCCGTAGATGTTGAGACGGTTTTTCATCTTGGAGCTGACGCGATTCTTCACAAAGTCAATCAGCCATTTCAACGTGGAGGGCACATTGATCAGATGAATCTCCTTGTGACGCATGGGCAGCGATTGTTCGCCCCATTTGAAGACGCGCGCAAATTCCGTGGGATTCCAGTTGGTGACATGCGATGTGGTGACGCCCGCAAAGTCGCCCACATGACTCAGACCCGTGATTTGCGTCTCCTGATCCTCCATCAGGCACTCGTAGGTGAGAAAGTGAGCCTTCGCCTGGTCGCTGCTTGTGTGAAACTTTGGATTCAAACCTTTGGCATTGATGATCACCACCCGCCGGCCGTGCTTGTCCCGCTTCGGCACCGCGAATATGTAGCCCTGTTCGATGAGGTCGCTCAGTCGCGGCTCCAGAAAATCCAGCTTGGTGGCCATGTGCGGAAAGGTGCGTCTCACGTTCAGATACTTGAGCAGCGTCTGCTCAGCCATCGGCACGCTAAACTTTTTGGCGCGCAGAAAACGCAACAGGAACGTATCATCGCAGCGCACATTCTGCAGATCCTCGTTCTTCAGCACCCAGTTGCGCAGCTGCTCCAGACTCTGCTCCCGCGTGCACTTGTCCTCGCGCAGCTCCCGCTTGGCTATCTTCAGCAGCGATTCGGACAGCATCGAGACGTCGCTATCCTCCAGTACCTTGGTCTCCTTCATCGCTTAGCACTGTTCCCTCTCAGCTGCGGCTGCTGCTGCTGTTCAATGTGGCGTATGCGTAATATCAGCCGGCTGTTTGCAGAGAAGACAACAAGGAACATAAGTAAGCATATAATTAATTATACTGTCTCTTTCAATTTAATAATACATAAAAACATTATTGTTTACACGTGCGCTCGATCCACAAACTTTGGCGCCTAAATCTGTTTTTTACTAACGATCTTTTTGATTTATGTTTAATTAGTTTTTGACACCAATTAATGATTCCATCACGCACTCATTTTAATTGCTCCACTTTCGATATTCTGCCAAACAACGCGCCAGCTAATGAACTCTAAACAATGTTTAAACTCAAACAATGCAAGACCACAAAATTGGTTCAAGGCCTCGCCTCAAGGTTTCATTTGCAAATATTTGCTAATTATGCCTAAAACTAACAACAAAAAGAAATCAAAAGTAGAAACAATCGCAGCGTCTGATTCAGCGGATGTTTAAAGTATCTTTACACATGTAAATTATTTTCTTGCTGGACAATAAATTCAAATTAGATGGGCAAAAAAGCGAAAACAAAACCGCAAATTGGTTCAAGTTCAAAAAACTTAGACTGAAAGCGGGTCAAGCCAGCGATATACTTATATTTATATTTGTTTTTATAGCATCAAGTCGAGTCGTTGTCCCCGCCATAAGAAAGAGTTCAACTGTTTTGTCCAGCTTCAGCTTTATTGTAAGTCTTGCATAATTTGTTTTCCGGCTGCGGCATTTATAATTTAACATATGTATCTATAAAAAGCAAGACGGAGAGCTCTTCGTCTTAGCCTCAGCTACGCGTAGTCAACTCCTTCAGATACTTGGCTTTAGTACTCTAACATTGGGTATTATGATTTTGTTAAGCATTGTGTCCAATATAGGATGCACATCATATATATACTCTTGTCCAAAATCATGTGCGTCTGTCTGTCTATTTTGATTATATATTTTCCACAGTAAAAAAAAGTGTTAGATAGACTATATATATAACAAGGGCATTTAATCCTCGCCATGTTGTAGCTGCTTGTTTTTTCTTGTTTTACAACACTGAAAGATCGAGTTGTTCGCTTGTAAGCTTTATATTTGTTTACAAATCCATTGCTATGCAAATAAGGGTATTTAGTCTTCGGCGTGTCGAAAGTAGCTGCTGTTTTATTTTGTTGTTTAACAACCTAAAAACATCGAGTTATTCGCTTGTAAAGTTTATATCTGTTTGTTTGCTTTTCGATTTCGGTTCGTCATGATACACATATGCAAATCAATTGGTTCGCCTCGTTTATGTCCAATGCAAACTCCGTGCCATTTAATTGATTTGCGTCCATTTGTTGTGGCTTTCAAGAGGCGCAAGTGCATTTTCGGATATTCAACAAAAATTTGCATTTTCTTCGGGTTTTCTCTTAGCTGAAAATTCGAATTCGAAAATGTGATTAAGCAATGGCGCCTACAAATTCACCGTTTGCCTTTCTGCCGCCATCCAAATCCCCCCCTCCCGCCCTCACCTCGCACCGCGCACCGCGCACCGCGCACGTACCCAGCTGAGTGCCTGGCCACTGTTTGGGGTTTCAACATGTTTATTAGGCGCTTGGGGCTTGTCAAGTGGCTGTGCCTCTGAGTGTGGTTGCGTGGCTTTGTGTGCCGAGCTGGCCAGGCTAATAATGCAACAAAGACGCCAGACGAGACGTCAGCTGCAGTTTGCCAATTTCGAAAATATTACTTTTCAATTTGTTGCATTGCAATTTTGCAATATTTTTCACAAAAGTTGGTTAGCTCTTTTTAAAGCACAACATAATATAAAACATTTTTGCTGCTTGTGTTAAAAATGTACAACACACACACACACACTTACACAATCGAGCTGCAGGACTTTTATGCTTGCTTTTATCTATATAGTTAACCTATATACAAAATATGTATGTATATCCAGGCGTTGTGTGCCGCGTCGCGTACCGAGACAACTGAGCAGCGCGAGCTCTGAACAACGAATGGCGCAAAGCAACAAAAAGTGGCTTGAAAAAATGTTAAAGAAATTAACTGGATTATATAATGACCACACAGCGACTACACACTAAGAGCAGCAGCAGCAACGGCAGCAGCAGCAACGGCAGCAGCAGAGACGGCCCAAAACCGAATCCGAATGCAATCTGATCGGTTTCGGGCTGCTGCCGTTGTTTCTGCTGCTGTTGTTGCTGCTGCTGCGGCTGCTGCGGCTGCTGCTGCATGGAAGCGAACAAGTTTTCGGTTTTCGAAAACCGAAAGTGCGCTGTGCATAGGCGAACCTTTTCGCCAGGCTGTTAGCCTGCGCCAAGTCCAAGTCGACAGCCATCAAAGGCAGCGGCATAAACAGTTGCTGCTGCTGCTGTTGTTGTTGTTGTTGCTGTTATTGCTGCTGCTGTTATTGCTGCTGCTGCTGCTGTTGTTGCTGCTGCTGCTGTTGCTGTTGCTGTTGTTGTTGCTGTTGAGTAATCCCAGTCAGTTGGTCAGTCGGTGAGCTACTCGGTCGGCTGTTTAGTTTGCGCGTTGTCTTAAAATCGAGCTGTTTTTTGTTGTTGTTGCTTGTGTTTATTGTTTTTCAGCGTTTTTTTTTTGCCTTTTCATGCCTTTTTCACTTTGTTTATTTCACTGATCTCTGTCGAGCTGTGAACATTAATGATTAGGCTCATTGAAATCAAAGACGTCGAAACTCATTGCTCATGGCAAAAATTTGCATTTTCATGGCGCCCATTTTCAGTTGTTGCTGCCTCACAAACAGCAACAACAACAACAACAACAACAATAAACGCAACACCTTGCAGTCCAGTCCGAGCCTTGAAAATGCAATCACCCCCTGCCCCCGCCTCTGCGCCCGCCTCTGCTGCTGCTGCTGCTGCTGATAGATGTTGGAGCTCTAATGATCGTGTTGATGCACAAGTTGGTTGTTGTTTGAGATACGTCATCCGCTTGGAAACACGTTTGCTTTTGCTCTCCGATATTTTTGGACGATATTTGAAATTGGATTTTGTTGGCCTGTTGGTCTGTTGTTAACTGGGCGTTGAGGTCGTTTCTATTTTGAGAAATAAAAAGGGGGAAAAGCGTTGACTATTTGATTGTCGTCTAAGCTTTTGTTTCAGGGCCATTCGAAATGCGGTCCCCAGGCCAGCGCGTATTACCCAATATTGTTTATTTAGCATAGGGCGTAGGCAGGCAGCTCTGTAGAAATGGGTTTTCAAGAGCCCTTCAACGTTTATAGCCAAAGTCTAATCAAATTAACATTCACATTCGCTGGACGCACATTTTGTTACAGTGTAATATGATGTGTGTGTGTGTGTGTGTTAATTATTAGAAATATGATCGGTGATCTTTCAATGTCAATGCATGAACTTTGGTAATTATGAGTGAATTGAAAAATCATGCATTTCTTGAGATCACGAATGCGCCTAACAACTAGTTTGAGTTACGTCCAAACAAAAGCTCTGCTTGTATTCAGATAAAGGTTTTTATCTTTAGTTGATTTTCAGCAACATTTTGGCATTCCGAGTCTTCAGTTTGTTTGTTGTTTCCCCATTTTACAACAGCCTTCGACCTTCAAGGCAGGTTCGGACCAGCTGATCGACCTACTCAACGACTTATAAACATTTTTTTAAGCTTGTGTAATGTGCGCACTCATCATTGGCACGTTTTTTCTTTTTCTCTCTCTTGTTTTTTTGTTTTTGTTTAAATATGTATGTGTATATAGTTGACTTTATTCATATTTTCGCGCTCATAACGAGTTTACAACAGAAACTCCAACCAATTGCTCCACATGGCCATAAAGATGCCGCCGTCAAATGCGAACAATAATCATTTTTAATAAACACATTACATTCAGAAACTGTTACTCAAATTGTAAGAGGGCCAACTCGGAGATAGACAATAACAATTCGCAACGACTTCAATAAGCCGTAAACTTCGTTTGGGTTTCGCTTGCGGGTAAACCTTTTTTCGAAATCCCATCACATGGTTATAGATGCTTTTTTTTAACTGTCGTGATTTCGGTCTTAACAATAATTAACGGCAAAGAAATTCAGCTTAATTATGTGCCCAAAATGGGCTTCTTCATAGTTATTGAAGCTTACATTTTTTTTCCTCTAATTTATTTCGGCTTCTAGCTATACACGTGCCTACAAATGGCAGTTATGAAGCCAAGTTGAAATTGCTAAAAAAAAAAAATCCCCAAGCCCTTGAGACGACAAATTTGGTCAAAACATTTTGCATAGGTTTTTGAGCATGTTCAATCTAAGAATATAATTTATCTTCTTTGGGAAATAGATGTTGGCGTCTATCAGCATAGCAACAACAACATGTCTAACACAATATTTAATTTATCTATTTACTTAAGACGCAAAATGTTCACACAATATAGTTAGTGCAGTGTACACTGTCAAACATAACATATTTGGTTTAGCTGTTGACATTAGCACTTGCCACTGCGCTGTTTGAGTGTTTTATTGTTGAAATTCAACAACGGTCGTTATAATTGCACAAGCACTTGAGTTTGTGCTGCAGCTGGGTTAATTTATATTTTCTTTGTTAAACCTGCAAGACTGTAATTAACTTGTTCGCCAAAGTTAAAACTTACCTAATTGATTTTGATTTGGCTGCCACCAAGCGTTGGTTCGGCAAAAGAGTGAAGGCAAAAACCGCGTAACCACTTTAAAACGTCCGCACTACACAAAGGTTCGACACAGAATCGAACAAAAGCGAACAAATTGCCGACATAAAGTACAACAAACCAGGTTTGTAAACGCTCGCGTGGTCAGAGTCAGAGTTGTCTGCTTTATGTCTATAACAGATCAAGAAAGCATAAATAAAATATAACGGTCATTTTATCATGAAAAAAAGCCATTGCTATGGTCTTTTGTTTTCAAAAGTGCCATTTGCGATTAATAGCCCGCAATGCTTCAATTCAAAATGGCGCCACATCTAGCGATAATAATCGAAACCAATAGTCGTGTTTCGGACTATCGAACTTACGACTATCGATGTGAGGCTCGTGCCCTTAACAGGTGCTGCAAAGCACGCAAATGTGCATTTTACAGCACTGACATTTCAAACAATAAACGGTAGACTAGTTTTTGTTTTGTCTGAGTTAATGGGTTTTTTCTGTATTTGCTTACAATATAATTTGTACAATATAAGTACGATTAGGCTGCTTTGTGTGCATTTAATTATGAACTATAGTTTTAGAATTAATTTCGCTTATGGTATAATTTATAGCATACAAAATCACAGTTGGTAAAGGAAACTCTTTACTGAGAATTATTGCTCCCCTAGAAGAGTGATGAGCTGGCCACGTTGATGTTTTCGGACAAAATCATTTGCTGTACATCGCTGAAAACATCGCGAATGCAACGAGTATCCGTGGCCACGGTGAAATGGTAATAGCACTCCCTTTCCGAGAAGCTAAAGTCGCACTGATTGCGCGAATTGCGCTTGAACTGTTCCTGGGTTATATCGATCATTTTCTGTTTGATGAACATCTTCGTCCAGTCGCACTCATCGAAGCAGCTTTGCTGCTGCTGCGGCCGCTTGCTGAACTCCTCGAAGTCCGGAAAATAGTCGACTATGTGCTTGCCGGCGCGTATTTTGCGCTCCATAATATCATACTTGTTGAGGAAGACAATCAGGCCGGCGGAGGCGAGGAAACGATTCTGCCAAACGGCGCGAAACAGATTAAGTGCCTCCTGCAGGCGATTCTGATTGGGATCCTCCCGCAGATTCTGATCGAATTCGCTGCACGATATGAGAAACAGCACGGCCTGAATGCCCTCAAACACTTGTATCCACTTGTTGCGCTCATCCCGCTGACCGCCCACATCGTACATGCGAAACTCCTGCTCACCGCCGCCCAGGCTCTTGGGTATGGGCACACGGAATGTGATTTTCGAGATGCCCGTGGTTACCTTTCTGCTGTGCAGTATATCCTCAGTGCTGGGTATATAGTCGCCCCCACAAATTCTCGCAAAGTTATCAAGAAAACTAAAGCAAAAGAAAATTGGAAATGTTATTGTTAGGTTCCATCTGAATATCAGCTGGAGGAGCTTACTATTTGGCGCTGTCCAGCAGCGGGAATTCATTCGAGCGATCGTAGCAGGCGCGTATGCCAACATCATTCCAGAGGGTCATAACATGGTCGCAATACTCCTGCAAAAAGATAATACACAGTCAGATTATGTTCCAATTGTGAGTCATTAGTTCTTAGAGTGAGAAAGGGAGAAACCCCAAAACGGGCCAGCATTTATCTTATCGTTGCGACCGGGCACAGGGCCAATATAATGATTGACCGGCTGCCCGAAAATGACTAAGACGTTGCCGCAACAGATCTTGGCCCAGGAAGTGCACGACAAAAACAAAAAAAAAACACACTTGTCGGAAAGTTTTTTAGACAACCTATTAAGTTAATGACAATGCAATCAATCAAATCGCGCTGGCAGATAACAAAAAGCGATCGCTGCATGTTCAGGAAAATAATGCCCCATAGAGATATCTCCGGTGGAGCAGCATGTTGTGATTTGTGCTCGTGAAACGTGACGCAAGTCGCTTTTTGTCGATTGTCCGGCTCAAAATGTTTAAAATGCGCGACAGCATTTGAAGTGTGTTGCGTAGGATAAGATACCGGGGCAGAGCCAGTATCTGCTGGCGGGATTACTTGACGGCCTGTCACTCACCTCCGTAAAGTACTCGGGCGCCTCGGCTGGCAGGGACAGGATGTAGTTGGCGCTGCGCTCGCTCGTGTTGCTGCCAAAGGACAGGCCCAAGGGCTCCATTTGCAGCACCAGCTGTATGATGGAATCGTGGATGTTCTGATAGATTTCGGGTATCTTTTCGCGGCGTTCACTAAAAGGAAAGGAAAGGTACTCTATAGAGACGATTCTCAGATAGCTGGCCAGAGTTCAGGTGCACTTACTCGTCGGTGAATCCGTTTATGTGAAGTATGCGCATCTGTT